TCCTCTTTTAATCTTAGCAAATTTTATTCAACTTTGTAATTTTATTGGAAATGTGTATATGTAAATTTTATAAAAACGAGGGCCCCTAAGGATACCAGCCTCGCAGCTGTCTGGGCCACCCTGGCTAAATAAAGTTGTCTTGTCTTGTCTTGTCTTGTCTTGTCTTGTCTTGTCATATCAGAAGGAAATTTGTCTTTTTATGAGACACTCAATTTTGTATTTAATGCTTTCTGAATGCTCCTATTCACCATCTCATAAAGGTGAACTTTTTACCTGCCAAGACCTCCCTATCAAAATATAAAACATGTTTATTCAGCTAGAAAGACTTGATAACTACCGGTTCAAGCTCCCCACCCCACCCGGGAAAATCTAAAATTTCCCATCCCACTGGCCAAGGATGACGATCAAATGCTCGTCGGTTGCCCAGGGGGATGGGTGTTGAAGCATACAGTGCGACATCTCCCGTGGTCTGGGAAGAGGACAAATGAGAGGCCTGGCAACGAGGTAAGTTTCTCTTATGTTCGAAGGGTAAGTATTTACATTTTTTTTTTCCAGCTATTTAGCATCAGAAATGAATCAACTCAAAACCTACTTTCTCAGTCGAAAGAATGGGCTCAACTTCACAATACCCGACCGCTTAATATGCGTCTTTAAATAGCTGCAATCGATTTGTTAACGTTCAAAAGTGGCCGGGTATTCTGACGTTGCTCCAAAGAATGTTTAGTTTGGAAGTAGGAAAATGAAGTGATGGAGAGTGTAATCCGAGGAATCAAAAAGTGTTCATTGAAAAGGAGAAATTTATTGGAAAATTCCTCCTTATCATAATATTACACAGTCATGTATCTCTTGAGATGAAATTGCAGCTGAATTGTAATTAAAAGATAACATAATGATAATGAACATAATGATAAATGTGTAAAGTAAAGTGTTCCTTGTATCATGATAATTTTCACAGGCTAGGGAAGTATGAAATACCGTAGCACTCGAGGAAAAGTGCAGGCAGACTCATTTGAAGATGTTCTATTCAGTGGCTTCACCAGCGATGGTGGACTGTTCATGCCTGAGAAAATCCCAGTTGTTGATAATTGCACACTAGGAAAGTGGAAGAATCTTTCATATCAGGAGCTGGTGTGTGAAGTGACTTCATTGTTTATCCCTGCAGAAGAAATACCACCAGAGAAATTAAAAGGTAAGTCAGTTAACCTTTTACACTGTGATATAAATATGCATATTCTCCTTGCTGTTCTCCATATATTTCCTATGGTGCTGACAAGGAGAACTTGGTTAAGTATCAAGAGTTCCTTAAGTGGGTATCCTGGGAGGGGGGGTACTCCCATATAAGGGCTTAATGGGGACGTGCGGCCAGCCAGGGTATCTTTTTCGAGATTTTTGTCTTAAACAGGGTATCGAATTTATCATTTTTTTGTCTTAATCAGGGTATTGATTTATCAATTTTTGTCTTAAACAGGATATCTTTTCTTGGAAGTTAAACAGCAAAATCTTTACAAGCTCTAATTTTAATTTATATTGAATTCCGTTGATTTTGGCATTGACACCAGGCACATTAAATGTCTTAAACAGGGTATCAAAAATCAGAATTCTGTCTTAAACAGGGTAGGAAAATCAGTGATATTTGTCTTAAACAGGGTCAGGGTATGAGGGGCTGCACCGCACCTCCCTACCCAGGAATATATCGAGTACCCCCCAGTGTGGGTATGACCTTAATTGTGATTTATTGGTGATATTGTATAGAGAAAGTAGATCTAGATACTGAGTTCTCCCTTACACTTAAATCATAACTTATTTTTTCTAGCCATTTGAAACTCGTCTTTCATATCCCCTGTGAATAGCAGGAAGAGGCTGGAAAATGGCTTTCTTTCCGTCAAAACAACCCTTAATAAAATAGATAAACTACCCATAGTACACTGATACGCCACCAACGCTCAACCCATGTGCTGCCAACTTTTGATCATAATGTAATGGCCAAGGCTTTGGCCAAGTGTTAACTAAGTTAGCATACCTATAAAATAACATGTCAACCAACAATTGGCCAGCTGTCAGTCAACATGTTAACTGAATATCATGAAGGCAATATTTTGACTGACACTTGGTTGACATGCCAACCAATAGTATCGGTCAATACTTGGCCAACAGATGCCTTAAGTACACATGATCCGATGAAGATTGAATGGGAAAGAGGGAAGTGTTCTGTGGGTCAATTAGCACCTTGAAGTTTGTGGTCTTCAGTCAGCATGTTGCACTTTGTTGATAAACCAAATGTGTGCAATAGGCTATACATAACTCGAAGATACTAGCTTATTCTTTAGCTACTCCAAATTCGAGATTAAATAAAGTATATGTATGTAGGTATGTATGTATGTATGTATGTACATCATGTCAGTTGTGTTTAAGAATGCCCTGATTTAAACACAGTGACTACTTTCTCCTTCCAGCATTACCTATTTATAGCCTATCTTGCCAATGTGTCCTCCATTGACCCTGTGGTCAATTCATACAGCTTCAATAATGAAGCTGTATGAATTGACCACAGGGTTTAGTTATTGACTGAAAGCTCTCTGTTGTTTGAGCATCCAGTCAAGGACTACAGCTATAAGTCCTTTTTTTCGTTGTTGAATATAGGGTTAAGTTTCCAAAGAGACTGTTATGCCGTATCATTTGGGGATATTACATATGTACAAGGAAATTTGGTTTTGTCAACTAAGTTGATAATGTAAATTAGTCTCCATTCAACCATTAGATGCACTAACCAACTGGGCTAGCACTCAAAGCGTTAGCTATCAATTGAAACTCTTTACAGTGCCAATTTACTTTATCAACCCAGTTGACAAAAAAAATTATTTTTTTTCTGTTGGACGAAACAGCAAGGTATGGATGCAATCCTTCAGAGCTTATTTACAGCATTAAGTGAATTTATGAAATGATGATATTATAAATTTACATAACCAGAGAATTCTTTTTTGTGGACAGATCTTGTTAAAAATGCATACGCTGAATTCCAACACAAGAACATTGTTTCCTTGGCGGCAGTGAACAACTTCCATGTGTTAGAGTTGTTTCATGGCAAGACATTGGCATTTAAGGATTTTGCTTTGGCATGTGTTGGGGTATTCATAGATTATTTTCTGAACAAGAGAAAGAAACATGTTATTACTGTAGTGTCAACTTCTGGTGATACAGGCAGTGCTGCCATTGAAAGTGTAAGGAAATCAAAGTGGGTTGATATCATAGTCATGTATCCTGAAGGACGCTGTAGTCAGATTCAGGAACTACAGATGACAACCATTCTTGACAAGAATGTACACGTCATCAGAGGAGAAGGTACATCAGATGACTTGGATTTTCCAATGAAGAAGTGTTTTTCAGATGATGCATTTGTAAAATCAAATAATCTTTGTGTGATAAACTCTATCAACTGGTGTCGCATAATGGTACAAACAGTGCATCTTCTTTATGGTTACTTGAGGGTTTGCCCTGATGTTGGGGACACAGTAAAGTTTGTAATACCAACAGGTGCACTTGGACATTGCACAGGTAAATGATCTTGTCAGTAAAGTCAGTCAATCTTTTCAACTACCAAACAATTCTTAAGCTCAGTTCTGAGGTATTGATCTTAGGATGGGTGTCAATACCACTCAACCTGACCCATGAGACATCTAATCCAAAATTCTTGTGTTGATAACAATAATTGTTATTGCATCTATGTTCTACCTTCGTATAATTTTATTTGTAGTCGCTATGCATAAGATAGCAGTTTGTGTAATGGTCATCCTCTGTACAAGAAGCTTCTTGAAAAGCAATAAGTTTTTTTTTTGTTTGTGTACTTCTTAGGTGAGAAACAGCCAATAGTTTGTTAGCCCTTATACAACCTAATATGAGTAAGCATATTCTCCATACTGTTCTCTATAAATTTCCCAAGGTGCTGACAAGGAGAATGTGTTTGACAATCAAGTGCTTCTTTAGTTGGGGATTTTGTCCTTTATTCATGACCTCATTATGTAATTCAGGGGTGGTATATTGCAAGGAGAAAATAGATGCTACTCACTCTTAAGGTTCAAAGGGAACATGATGGTGCAGGCTATCTTTCAATCAGAGTAATCATTTTAGACTCAGAATGAGAAAACAAATAGAGGCTTAATCAGACTGCCATGTAATTTTCAATCGTAAGGATTTGAATGTAAGGTTTGACTTGGAATTAATTTTGTAAATCTTTATGAGACACTGTTCAATTTGCTCAGCAACTCCTCGTCAAGGGTAAGGATTTCTTAAGAAACACTAGGAATGTGTTGCATTAGTTTGAGTTGTCTTCATGAGAGCCACAGACCTTTTTGATTATTTCTGAGTTTATGATTATTAAAGTATTTAAATTTCCTTACAGCTGCCATGTGTCTGTATAAAATGGGTGTCCCTCTGCAAGTGGTGTGTGCTGTCAATGAGAATGACATTGTGCACAGAACCCTATCTGTTGGCAACTTTAGCTCCAGTGGAGATGTTAGGCATACATGGTCATGTTCTATGGATATTGAGGTACAAGTCAGACTGTGGCAAGCTAAGAGCAGTGCAGCAGCCTGTGCATTTTAGCACTCGGAATTCCTCTATGTTAACATTACCTGCATTTTGGATTTTTTAAACAAAGGAATGTTTTGTTTGTCTGTTTGTTTTTTTGTGGTCAGGCATGCTGCAAAGCAAGCTCATTCCTTTGAGAATCATGCTGAAAGACATTTCTGGGCTATTTTTCTTGGTGTCAATAGTTTGGGTTTTATCACTTGCATCAACTTTAAGTCATAAAGACACTTTAGGGGAGTTAGAGATTGGCATGTTTTGGAACAACAAAAATGTGCAGAACTACTCAAAAAAGTTGTATAAAATTTCTTATCGTTAAAATAATTGAAAAGTAATTCCACAAATAGTGTTACATTGATAATACAAATTGTATAACGTTCTCCTTTGATTATCAGGTTCCTTACAACATGGAACGTCTGCTGTTACTCTTTTCTGACATGAATTATGGTCGTGTAGATTCACTGATGAGAGATTTTGAACACAATAATTCACTGATGATACCTGAAGATTTAAAAGAAAAGGTAAACTGTAAATTCAGTTGAATGTAATGTAAACATAGCAAGGAAGAGTACCATTTTTATTCACTTCTGGAAGTTGAAGGGTTGATAAGAATGTCTTTTTTTTTTAATCCCAGAAAACACATCGTGGCTGAATACCACCAGCTCTAAATAATTCTAACTTATTCTATCTTACAGATGTGTAAGGTCTTGTCATCTGCCTCTGTGTCATGTGACCAAACACTACAAACAATGAAGGAATGCTGGGATGAGAACCAGTACCTCCTCTGCCCACACACAGCTGTTGGTGTCAAAGTGGTCTGGGACCAAAGGTAAATGTTAAGTCGGAACATTATGCATGCAAGTACTATGTTCGGTAATGTAATGTTAATTATCTGCGGAAATGATAAAGACTACTGTCGGTATGAGATCACTGGAATTGTTCCATCTCTGTGAGTAGGTAGAAGGTGCATGCATGTACAGCTGTGGGGTCACTCCTTGGACAGTGAGTACGTTTTTTTGGTCTCGTCACGCGCGGGGAAAGAGTGCGTTGCGTGACGAGACCAAACAACGGCTGCGCGGGAGACTACCTATGCCTCTGACGCGTATTATTCAGAAAAAAATCCATGTTGTCAGAATCGTAAGCAGAAGCGGAAAAACCAACCAATTGCTCTGCGAGTTCTCAGGCCCTCCAGGTGTCGATAACGTACCATATCAACGGCATTACTATCCTACTTCCGATTACTCCGGTTCAATTTTTAACAGATTGTATCGCTCTGCTCTGATTACTCTGGTTGCTACTCTGTCTATTTCGAAATCAACCATAAGACCACTGCACCAAACGTCGTTTTGGCAAGCCAGCTACTAAATGGGTAATTTTTCTTTATATTTTACGTTTCCCCTTTATATTATTGTTAGTGATTCTCTGTTTCCATCCGCAGACATACCACTGATCAACAGACACCCATCGTATGCGTGGCCACAGCAAGTCCCGCCAAATTCCCAGAGGCCGTGAGGGCTGCTGGCATTAAAATGCCGCCGTACCCGCAGTTAGCTGAGCTATTCACGAGTCCCACAAGGTACACGGAAATGAAGAAAGGAGAGGACTGGTATCAAATATTGAGGGACATGATAAAAGATATTTCCAAAACACCTTACAACATAAACAATGGCATTGAAAACGAGAGTGAAGACAAATTTTAAACCCGACCATAGGAGGTTTATTTTATGAGTTTGGAATTTTTTATCATTGTATTAAATTGAAGGGAGCCCTCGCGCGTTCCACGAGGTGATGGCAATTTCCCTTCGTGATCGACAGAGTCCGCTTTATTGTTATTCTCATGGGATGGACTTTCAACCTTTTCCTCACCGGAGGCGCCTGGTTTTGAAACTGTTTTATTTGCGACCCGTGGATCGTCGATTCGTAAAGAATGAATAAATTTTTCATCTATTTCATCGAATATATTCCGTCTTGTTGGTTCTGGGGTACGAGGCAAGGAAGTTTCTNCCTTAACAATAATAATAATTAATAATAATAATAATAATAATAATGATAATAATAATACCTATTTTTCATTGCCCAGAATGCTCTTTCGCGACATGTACTTGCAGTGCCCATTTAATCAGCGGGCAGCCTAAGCATTTGCATATCCTGAACCAGTCATTTGTGATTGGTCAGCAGGTAAAGCTTTGGGAATACATGAGTCTCTTTGCAGATTTCAGCTGCTGTCAATCAAACGGTTGGATGCGTAAAGTAAATCCCAAGGTGATATAAAGTGAACAATAGTAATAATTAACAATAGCCACGCTCTTAACAAAACGTTTAGCAAATTTGTTTGCAGCGACAGACTTCCGTTGGCTAAAATGTTGTCGGAATTATAAAAATTAGTATCATGAGAATAGAAAAATTTATAAAAACAGTATCGTGAAGAATGGGGGGTTTAAAAAGCGTAAGTTGCGATCAGGCGGTTTTCGGGGGCGAAATGCTTGCGGTTGCGGACTGACAACAAAGAAACGCCTGATTGAAGGCTATAAAAAGCGGTGCTCCGAAAGCTAGGTAATCCGTGATCAAGTGAAATTTTATTTTCATTCAATCTTTGTCTTAAATGTGGTTTTGGCGCGCGCCCGTCTTAAAGAGAATAAGGAGCGCGAAAAAGGGCTTATTCACAGTTTTATAGAGAGCGCGATGCGTGAGTCACTCGCTTTTACCTGACACTTGCGTTGTCATACTCCACTAAAAAATTTTGATGGCTGAACAGAGCTTTTCTTCCTTTTTACCCCTCAAGAAGAGGACTTACGCGATGACAAAAAAAGGACAACATCAACAATTGCAAAAGAGACTACGGTGGAACCCCGTTAATACGACGACCAACGGGCCATTGAAATCTATCCGTATTGACGGGAGTAAAAGCATATCACTCCCTTACACTTCACAATCGCGCTTTTTTACTCCACCGATTAACGCAGTCCGACCAAACAGAAGAAAAAGCAAGTAAACTGACTAACAAACGGCCGCCACGAACAAGTTGACGGCCGAGGGAACAGTTACATAATTATTCACAGTTTGATCCCTTTTGAATAATCAAAACATATAAATAGCACAGTTTCATTCAATCCAATCATTAGCTACAGCTTATTTGCAAAAACATGTCGAAGCGTGCGAGACATCAGCCGGGCTTTTACGCAACATTATTGAATGATGTCCGCCATCGTGGCTTTAATTCGAAATACCGACCGAAGGTAAAACCAACTGTTATGGGCGTTTACGAAGTTGAACGTATTGTAGCAAAACGAGTTCAAGGAGGCAGAGCAGAGTATTTCATCCAATGGCAAAGCTACTCCCCGAGTGAAAATACGTGGGAACCAGCCGAGCACCAACCCGAAGAACTCATCACTGCCTTCGAGAACAGATCTGTCGATCCATTTCGCGCAGATGAATGCCGAGAGAGACTAGCTCTTTTATTTGAGAAGGGTATAAAATCGCCCCTGGCATGCAACGAAACTATCACGATACGGCACGATGTAGTAAGAGCGCTCTTTCCTGGTTTGCCATCAGACCTCCGTGGGACTCCGTACCTCGCTAGTGAAGAGGAACTGATAGCAGCAGGCCTTGGTCCTTATCTGAAGCTGCGTTTAACAGTAACAGGCGGCGGATGTTGCGTCGACGCTCCAGTCAGCTTTAAGCTGTTTCTTGGCAAGTCGCTTTCCTTCCTAGATGAACAAGGCCGCAAAATAGCTCCCCGCCCGGTAGAGAAAGTTCAGATCAAGTTTACGAAGAGTTATTTCGCCGGACGCATCCAGTGAGCCAAATGCTGCTTTTTCGAAAACGGCTTCTTAGGAAGCCTTCAAATGGAATAAAAGTTTATGAGCAACAGTGGAATTCATTCATAGCTGCACAGTCACTTATTCAGTGATAAGTCGAGACCGCTTTTCGAGATAACAAATTTATTTAAGTTCAGTTTACAACTTGATTAGTCCCCCTGATTAATCCCCTTGAGTACCTACGGAAAAAAAAGACAGCGGTTCTAAGTCCAACTGTTTTCTCCAAATAAATCATTCTGATGTTACGGGCAGATAGGTCAGAAATTAGACCTAAGTGAAAAATTACTAACATCATGCGCAAATGTGGTCTGAATTACAGACTCCAGAGAGCGCCGGGGATCGACGGAATCGCAGCCACGATAACCGCAACTAGAAATATCGTTCATTTTGCATGAAATACGTTATTAAAGACAAAATAGTCATTTACCGGTATTCTGGTTCTCCAGAATTTCCTGGACGGCTGGCTGAAAGCCCACAAACTGAAGGGCCAGCAACACCATAAAGTCCCTGTTCAAAGTTGACAGTTCCGGAAATGACCACTAGAACAATAAACTGTGTGAAGAGCATAAAATGCAATGAAAAATGAAAAATTCACAAGATACTAACCATCTTTGAAGGGGATCCATTTGTTGGGCGACCTAAAATCAGGGGAGATTAATAAGATTTAGGTGAAGGTGTAATAAGATTTAGTCCAAATTCGCGCCATTTGCGAGTTTCAAACCGCGACATGTGAGATCCCTCTGTTTGAGTATTGCTATGAAATAATGACTTGTTATTCATGTTTATTAAAATAGATATGAATAAGTTCTACTTACATCACCTGACTGGGCCAAGTGCCCTTCCAGGTAGGCGCCTAGCTCCTCCAAAAAGTTGGCAACTTGGCCGTCAGTGAATGTGAGCTGCAAAATGAATTGTTTGGTGATTTTAAAAAACTATTCTATGTTCGAAGCNGAATCCAGTATGGAAGTTCATCAAGGTCAGTTTCACAAACTATAATTTGAATTGTAAGATAATTTGTTTTTATCAACTGAGTTGATAATCTAAATTGGCCACCACATACTAAGTTGATACAGCTGACGTTTCCAACGTTAGCTCCTCGTCAGAGCGAATGACGCGCCCTTGTCAACAGTATCACACCTGAATCAATCACGAAGATCATGCGAAAAGAGGAAATGATCGCGAACTCAAGAAGCTTTTGAATTTTAGACAAATTCTCCTTGTAATTACCACAAGAAATGTATAGAGAACAGTGTGGAGAATTTCTGCTGTAACCGGCTATGTTGGGAGCGCCTTGTGAGGAGGGAGAAGAAATCAAGAGGGAGAATTTTAAACCCGATAGGACGTGCAGCGTAATCCTGGCTGTATTTATCCACAACAAAAACGTTGAAACATATTTCAACCAAAGAATAAAGCAGAAAACGTATAATAGTAATTTATTTTAAAGAGGGGCAGATCCTCCTCAGTACCGAAATATTGTGCCAAAGAGTAACCACACTTAACATGCCTTTTACCCCGTTTTCACTGACGTTCCCCTCCCGTCTCATTTAATTTTGGAAAGCCAGGTCTCTAATAGTTAATTCCCTCACAGTTTTCTAATAGTTACTCTCCCCTCGTTTCGTTCATTTGTTCTGATAACTAATGATAACTTAATAACCCCTCCACCCTTTCTCTCCCCCCCTCCCCTCCCAACCTCCCCTTCCTCTCACTTCTTGTAAAAGGAAAGCTCTAAAATTCTACTAGGATTGTTATACTTGTGGGTTCAGTAATGGCTTAGCGCAAATATACAGATATTAGTCAAAACGAAAACAGTGTATAGCGTTAGAGGCGCGCTCTGATTGGCTACGCAAACTTCGAATATCCTTTGCTATATTCATCTTTGACCAACGCACGCGAATTGCGCCCGAAATATTGTTACAGTAATTGTTGCAGGAATAAATTAGTTTTAAAAATCATGTTTCTGTGCTACGTTATCTCACTGTTTTAGGATATAAAAAAATTGATTATTCGGTTTTGGTGGCTAGTGGTGTATATTAACCTCGCCGCTTCGCCGTTCGGTAAACGTCCACCACTAGCCACCTCCACTTCGGTGAATAGCTTTTGATTAGTTTCTGTATCAGATGTCACAAGTGTTTTACCAAAGGAAAGCATATTGAGTGCGATATTCGTCAAAACAAGGAGACAATTAAGTTAAGCGAATTTTACTCTGAATGAGTTTTTTTTATACCTCCACCACTCCATAATAGACCTTTCATTTTTGGAAGCCCTGGGAATCAATATAATAACGCCCTCAGAGGTTTATCAAAGCTTTTACAATAACTTTGTTCGCGTGATCAATTCATCGCGTGAGATTTTCATTGGGTGAGCTATCTCATCAGATTTTGTTTGAAGTCGCTGCAGATTGTTTAAGATTCATTTTAGGATATGAGCTATATTCACACCGGACTTTGTATCAATAGCGCTGTTCTTTTCCGCTGAAAGTCTTCCATCATTAAAGGTTTCCGCTATGCGTGAGTTCTTCGATTACGTCACGATAAGATGTGCACGCAATATGAAACGACACAATTTTGCACAATAAACACTTTCGTGCCAAATCTATTTCAGTGACAAGATATTTCTCTTATGAAATATCTCTGCTATCAGATGCCATAAAGAAAAAACTCTGATTTTCTCCTTGAAGTATCTGTTCTTGATACTGTCAAACCTCACCACAGCCTTCGAGGGGAAAACCATTCATCTGTCACCGTGGTACGCTTCCGGTTTTTATCGAACATCATGGTTGATATCGGAAGAAACAACAACAAATTGAAAATTAAACGCTTACTAGCTATGGGGATGCTTTCCTGTACAGCCCATGGTCCGGCACTAAAAACGTTCATTTCACAGATCTCCAGTGAAGCTTTATTTGTCTGCATAATTTTTGTCTGCCATTGATTCCTAATGTGTCGCCAACGTTCAGGCATAAAGCCGCGTGTGTTTATGTGTGTCCTGTACACAATGGAACAATTTTGATTGAAATAAAACAACGAATCTTTTAATTGTTTGTAGAGATAAAAGAAATTGTCGAAGGGGGGCAAAAACTTCGGTAAACTTTGATGTTTTATTTTATTTCAAATCAATAGCCTTAATTTTTGTGGACAAGAATGTGTGGTTAGGATGGGATAAACAAAAGTGGAAGATTCTTGATAAAGAAAGGATTTCAATGTCGGCTGGCTTTTGTGTTGGTTTGTCTCTATCTATTTTGTAGCCGCCCTCAACAAAAATGTGCGAATAAGCACGAAAGCTCTGCTGTAATTACGTTTAAAATTATCGGCTCAACGACCTAATCGTATTAAGATGACGACAATCATGACCTTTTAGCACCATTTAAACGAATACTTCTACTTGTCATGAAATGTTTCCTGTTTGCAGTCGTTGCATTGAATTTTTAACACCGATTGTTTTTCTTTTTGTTTATTCTCTTGCACAAAATAACATTTAGCGTAAGAAGTAAATAAAGTTTCTGATATCTGATTGCGATCCAACAACTTCTCCAACTTTGCGTGCTTGTTTTCGCCTTTAACAGAGGTGTGGGTGTATATTAGCATAGTACTTTTAAATTTGTGATGAATCGGATATCAGATGATTCTTTGCGAAACATGCCTTTAAGCTTTCTCTTCCATATTTCTTACGTTTTCGAGATTTTCCAGAAAGTGTTGGAGATTTCACTGGAAATTTCCAGAGTATTAGACAATTTTATATCTTCCCGCACCCGTAGAGCTTCATATTATTAAGGGATATCGGCTCATTGAACCTCACTGAACACTCGCCTTGCGTGTGTTCCAGTAAAGTCGGTAGGACGATAGAGGAATCAAATCTTCAAGATCTTAAAGTACTTAAACTGCTGATCTAAATGAAACTTTCTGTTGGATGGGAAGGACATTTCGCTAATTACAACTTAATTATCTCCCGACTTTCCTGAATTCGGCGCGGACAACTATTACAAAAACAAAAACAGGAAAGGCTCCTCCCACTGCATAAGTGGATTTAAAGAATTGGATGGAAGGTCTTTCTTCTAAGCAGGATTCAACAATTTTACAATAAAAAGTTTAGGCTCTCATTCGGTAGAATAGCAATTGCAACTCCACATCAATAGAAAAGTTACTCAGCAGCCGCTGGGATGTTGCTGGCTCGATCGCCTTGTTACTTTTCTTATCAAAATTTTGATTCGTTGAAACACTGGCTTTCAGTATCGTCTCTAAAGTTCTCTGTGAAGTGAAGTTAAAACAGTTCGGTTGAACATTTTAAATGAACAACTTCCCTTCAAATAATTTCTTACAAACATCATTGCACTGGTAATTGGAATACATTGCCGATTCCGGCTTCGGTGCTTTCAATTCAAAACCTTCAAGCCGTCATTCGCCAACCTGCCAACATAGACATCGTCCAGTCTAGAGAAAGGTGCTATGGAAAAAGCTTCGACAAACGAAGCTACGACACCGCGGGATGAAGTACATCCAAACCCGCGTAAAAATATGGATAAAATGCTCTTGGAAATTCTCCACTTACTACTCCTGTAAACCCGAGGAGTTTATAACGATTACCGGCGTATAACATTTCTTTTCAAGTTGAAGCCTCATTGTAGAACGAAGGGTTGTTGTGTTTACGAAGACATAATAATAATAATAATAATAATGAACGTTCTTAATACGCATTTAAGAATCTCAATGCGCTTACAGTAAATAATAAAAATAATAGCAATAACAAATTATCAATAACAACAATAAAAATTAAAAACACTTAAACTACAAAGGTGACATTACTCATCACGGAAGTGGCAACGAAAAAGGTAAGTCTTAAGATAGACATCATCGTCTATCTTTAAAGAGAGCCTGTAATACCTTATCGCTCCCTTCGAGGCCAGTTTGTTTCCATCTTTTGGTCTGATTCCTGTAATGGTCAAAGTAGTGAGCTAGCATAAGGTCTCCATAAACTTTATCTTTTCGCAGTAGAGACTTTGACTGAGATTGATTGTTAGCGGACAAACCATTCTTGGGTGACAAGGAAAAATGTTGTCCATGTTCGTTTGACGGCTCTTCGTCACAAGCCCAAGTCTTGCGAATATCGTTAATTTCTTAGCAATAAAGAGTAGCGGATGATACAAGAGTAAGAAGTTCGTACGGAGTTGCACAGTTACGATAAGAGATACTCTATGTGCGAATTGCAAAGTTGAACGATCTCTTTGGTAGAGATTTGGTAAATGTTGAAGTAGTTGAAGACTCCTGCGACCCAATATAGAAGGTTAAACTTTATCAAGAATAAGCTAAATGGTAAACAAAAAGTAAATGTAAGGATTTGTGTCGGGCGCTTTTCTCTTCATTGATGCGTCAGATTGGAAGGAAACTGACTTCAAAGTAAATTGAGATGATTTTCGAGAAATGTTCAGCTAATTAGCTAATTTTAGATTTTCCTGCATTCCTGAAACATCCGATATATTTCAGTGATATCGACTCATTGAAAACTTTTAAAAACAGGATATGTAAAATGACAAATCAGGCCCCTATACGGAAGCAATACAATGACAATTTAACAGTAACAGAAAATTTGCGGGCTCAGCGGTCGCCTTCATAAATTCTGAATCGATCGCGTTTCATCATCGTTTGACAGTCTCCCCGTTACCGCGCTTTTTACATTCGCGCTGCGTATATTGGAAGAAATAGCCTGATTGTTTAAACATCAAGCCTGCTCAACAGAATGAGACTAGGGACCTTAAGCAGTCAGGACGGCAATGCCAAGAAAGACTTCGATTAAAAAATGAATTTCTACTCTTAGTTAGAATTTCAAAAATGGCTGCATGAGCTTACTGTCTCATACAGCGCCACAGCTCAACTTCAGCATGACCTTTAAAAGTAGCCTTGAGTTCCAAATGGAAATTAAAATAATTTGCCGTCGCGGTTTCGGTTCGCAGACGACGCAAATTTTAGCGATTTCACGTTGTTGTTCTGCATAGGACGGCTAAGAAATGTACAAAGTTTCAAAATGCACGTGCTGAGCTATTGTTCTGCCAATTAGATCTCTTGTTTTTCCACGTCCTCGTTGCCGTCGCCGTCGTGGTTGCTTAAGGTCCCTATTAAAACGTAATCAAGTTCAGTGTAAATACCTCAGTAATTTTGTTGCTGGTATTACTAGGGTGGGGTGGGGCGGTAAAGCTGAGGGTATAGATGGATGCCATAAAGCCAGTAAGAGGGTAGGGGTTTGACAGCCTCAGTTATACCTTAAAGTATTGAGTGATAAGCTTTAAAAAAATCATAATCTGTGATTTTTGTAACAAAGAAGACTGTTTAATTATCGAATCAGTCATTGTTGAAAACAAATTTTCAAATTCAATCATTTTTTCCTACCAGAATAGCAGTTAACGTTCCATTCTTGTCAACTTAAAGAGCAACGATTATGCTCACTTGGCCGTTTCAGGGTGCTCGAGTTTTGATTTGGTTCCTTTCAACTGGTTGGATGGAATCAGTTAGAAGCGGAGCAGCTAGAAGCTTGGAGCTAATCATGAGGCAGCTTAGGCCTACGCCACGATACGCGCAGAAATTACGCTTGAAATTGCCCGTCAGTGACCCGTAGAAAAAGAAAATCCGATAGAAAATTCGTGAAAAAACAACTAACAGACCAAAGGTTTCGGCGAGGAAATTTCACATAGTCCCTCGACAACAACTGTTAAACGGGGAACGTTTTACGGTGACAGTCTTGGTGGTACAAACTCTATTTGTCTTGGCTATCATATCTACAGGTGTTCGCATTTATGAGCCACACCCTGAGACAAAGAAATGTTTAAGGTGCCTTTAGGAAGGTCATGCAAATCAAAGAAGTAGGTTCTATACCCTAAAGCTTCTCATAATATTTAACCGCAGATGAAATAATTTAACGTAATCTATTTAGCTTTCTTCTACTTCAATTCGTTTTTGCTCGATTTGTATATTTCTTTTGGTAGACTATAAAGTCGCGGTTGTGAAAGCAACAGTAAGCATCGGGAAGGGGAAGGAGTAAGGAAGACTGAGCAGGGGAGGGGTGAGAGCGAACAGTGGGCACAGTTGAGTGATATTTGTGTCGTCGGGGACGATCTTTCATTATCACCTTTCTCACCAACCCAATTAGGTCATTTTACATACCGTGTTTCAGACCGACCGGCTTTCGAAGTTATGGCACCTAAAACTAAAAGTGCAATATCTAACATGATTCACAAACGACTGAATATCATTTATTTGAACTGCGGACTAATAACTGATTATGACAGCGATTTTCGCAGTAATGAACACTGAAGTGGAAATAAAACCTGAAAAAAAAGTTAGGGTGCAAAGCTCTACCAACTGAGCTAACAAACCAATTCAGAGCTGGTCATTTTGTTGATTCGTAAAAAACTCGTGTTGTGATGCATGAACGACCGTGAATAATGACTATATTATTTTTAACTGTGGATTAATAAATGAAGATGAAAGCGATCTTCCCGATCAGTAGTGGTTGATATCACGACATGCAGCAAAAACCGCTCCCTATATGGTCGAACAGTTAACGGGCATCGGTGGCTAGAATATTGATAACTTGCCTCCCCCGGAACTCATCCCTAAGTTAAAGCACTATAGATACGTCATTTGATTTACATTTATCTTCACAATTATAATAAATAACATAAAGGGCAAAGTTAAACTGGAAGAATAAGTCTGGACGGACATAAAGGCGGCCAAGGGGACTGTCACATCCCAAACGGAAGTTGTCCAAGAACTGATATAAAGGGAGGCTGTGATCTCACCACAAGTTCTCGTTTGTTCATTTTTATTTTTTTTTAGATCCGCCTCTGTTAAAAAAAAGATTTATTAGGGCTATATTCGCTTTATGTCCAAGCGTGAAGTTCGTCATACGTAACGCCTTGTTTGATCCCATACCAAATAAGTCAAACTTTACTTTCCACATGATCGTGCAGATCACCCCAAAGAATGCATTGGCGATCGTACTAACGATTATATGGGAACCAGATGAAACGACCACTTACGACCAGAACAATCGCGGCGACCGTTGATCGTCGCATTCTTACGCCTGTCCCGATTCAGCTCATGAAATTGTATCGAAGACAGGGGCGATCGGAACGATTCATGAAATTGTTCAGTACCTCACAAACGGCGAGAAAACTGATGAACTGAAGGGTTTAGAATGGGTGATAAAACGAAACCGGGCTTCAATCTTCAGTTACCAAAGAGTTGAAACAGTGCTCCTCTGAAAATGTCTACCATTTCGTTTGTTCAATTAATGCATATTTGAGCAAAAATGTCATTAACGAAGAAATGATTCGGTGTAAAGACCGAATAGCGGTGGTGTCGCAGAGAAATAAATTATCATTATAATTAACGATTAAATACAACGAAAACAATAATAGAGTGCAAAGCAGCTAGTAATGACGACATCACTTGTTATCTGCAAGCGTTGTAGAGCCTTCAAGTCCTATGTCATCATTTTCGGCTTGTTTTATTCACATACTTTGTTTAAGTCACGAATCAGTAAGTTTTCCAGTCAAACACGCGGGATGATTACGTACTTCACTTTTGAGTGACGCCTCGTGAAATTCTTGTCAAGCTTGTCCTTGCTGATTTTCCATTCCGATATCAGGCAAAGTACTGTTGAAAGTATTGGAAACGGTGTGATAAAATCGGCGACTGACAAGCTTGATGACTCAGTTACAAGCTGCGAAAAGAAGAGGCCTAGGGAAAGAGAAAAAGAACAAAAAAGAATATTACAAACCTAAAATATTATGAATCTTTCGGGTACCTGTTATAAAGGTAGCCAAACGCACGAGGTGTCGCAGAGGTTCGTTGTAAAGGATTTCGTCACGCCGCCCGGAATTCTGCATCAGTGATAAAGTGGAATCAACTCAATATCTGGGAAATGGCAGAAATTACACGTCATTGCCCAAGGAAAAATTCTCTCGGTACTTCCGCCGATTTTACCAGAGAGTCTTACACCGATGTGGTGAGCGAGGAAGTCACAAAGTGATCCGGCTTTCGTAAGCTTAATTTGTAACTTTACTAAGCGTTTGTCGATCGCTTTGGCCCAGTTAGTCCTTCCCAGAATACTATTCGGGAGCGCTCTTTGAAAATTTATTCACATTTTGGTCAAGGGTACACACTCTATTTCCTTTGGACGTGACCGGTTTAATGCTCTGCAGGTTTTCTACACAAACTGTGACAGTCCCTCTACTGTAGTTGAAAATGGTTTGACCTAACTGAGTATTTCCATCTGGAGTAGGGCCCTTTCTGTTGCTGTATACAGCTTTACTGGTCTGGCAAACCCGGACTCGTTCGCTTTGGGGCTTCTGTAGCTATTGAAGGAATTTGTTCAAGTGAAACTACTGGTATTTGCGTTTTTCTGTCGAACACTGAAAGGTAAGTTTGCTGGCGAACTTCATGACTCTTACGGTAATTTTGCATTTTTACTTTTATGTGCTTGTGTTCACTTTTAGCGGTTAGAACCAAGTTCAAATATAATTTTTGTTAGAGGTAAACAGAGCGTTGTGTAATTTGTATACCTAGTGCTGGCAAGTGTAATTTTACATTATTGCGGTACTTTGTACGTACGATCCAAAATATTTCGAGTACTTTTTAAGGTGATTGGAAATTTGCACGCAGGAACAGAAATGAACAGATCAGATGGGTTTGCGTAGCGCGCGCCGGCCAGTACTTTCTTGATGAGCGAGAATGTTCATGATCGAGCATGTAAGGTAAACTTAAGCTTTGTAGGTGAAGAGCGTTATTCTTATCCTCTCGGATTAATCTTAGCCTTCACAAGTTTACATAAATAAGGATTGCTTTCACAAATTTCCTCGCATGTCTGCCCCAGTCGCCATGTCCCACGAACAGACGGTTGCGAATGCTTTTCAACAATTCAACATGATTGAATATTTCCAGTGAAACAACGAACATTTGATATTGAATATTAGCATTTGTTTAAATTACCGATATTTGAAAAGTATGCACTTAAGTACCCAGAGAAACAGCATTATTACTGAAGCAATGACATTTCTGTGAAAGAATAATGACTCATTGGGTTTTTTTTTTCGGTAATGCTCATCCATGGTCTTAATTGATCTTGGCATCCTAGATGTCGGGGTACAAATTGTGTACCTTCCCTTATTCAGGAAATAATACACAAAATAAACCGCCACCAACCTTTTCCTGCATAGTCGTGATGTCTTAAGCCTGCATTGTCTGTGTAGCTTTTGCGGTTTTTATTTAAATTCGCCCCGTGAAAGGTTGCGAACATTGTTCAAGAGAAAAATGTCGTGAGTAACATTCGGTTATAAAATTAAGATTAGAGCTCTAAAAGTCATGATACGCGTTTGTTTTACATCGACGTTATTGCCTGATTTTGTTTATTGCGGAGCTGATGCAGTCTCAAGTTAATATTTGTATTGTGAAGCGTTATTTTGAATTTTCGTGATATGAAGTTGACGATTTAAAAACACGACTTTTCGCGGGTAATTTCACCGAAATTCTAATTGGCATTAATTCAAGAGTTATTTGCTACTATTTTACTCGTTATTTGGTGTTAGGTTTGTACAACCGGGAAAATACTGCTCAAAGCGGTTTAAAAACTTAGCAGTTGCGACATTTGATATTTCAAAATCCGTGGTAATTTTTTTTAAAGATGCTATGCGGAGTCATTGAAGCGAGAATGGGTGTTTATATCGGCCGGATCTGTAGCGTAATTTGTCATCTCGAGAAGTTTTACATGAAACAGAACCAAGAAATACTCGATAGAAAAGCTGTTGTGAATACGAATTGTGAATTGTGAATTGTGAAATCATGGTTAAAACAGAAGATAAATTTTCGAGAATTGATCGCAACCGATATGTTGATTGTTATCGGTGTATGTCACTTACTCGCTGTCAAGAAACATTTGACCCCATCTTCTCCAGCTTTGTTGTGTTTGACCTCTTTTGTGTTGTGAAAAGGACTAAATGGCTCTTTGATCCAAAGTATTCTCGCTTCACGGGTAACCACTATATCTGTTTACATCGATTAATTTTTTTTTTACGTTTTACAGCAAAGTTAACCTCGTCAAAATATTTGCAACAGTTAAGTTGTAATTGAGTATGTCGTGGATTTGTCTGGGTAAACTCACAACCACGATTTTTGTGGCTTTAGTGGTGATCAGTCGTATATCTAGAGAGCCAAACTCAGTATTAGGAATTTTGATTCCCTGGAGGGAATTGTAAACAGTAGCCTGTGGAGATTGTGTTACAACAAAAAAATTAGCATCAATTTGTAGAACTTATGATTCTGATGGTCTTGTTTTCTTCTTGTGTTCAATCGTTTCCCATCGTGATTTGATTTTCTTTTGAATAATTATGTGCTCTTCAGTTAACATTTGTTCAAGGGTTTCCTTTGGGAATTTGGAAATTATGCCAGAAGTAAGTGGACAGGAAGAAGGGGTTAACTTGGAGGACCCTGGCCAAGCCACACAGATTTTTATCAGGTTTTGTAAGTTGCCACCATTTGATTTTGTCAGTACTGTGTTACTGGCCACAAATATTGTGTTCAGGATGGTGGTTGAAATACCTCATCTAGTTTGTGATTTTTGAAGAAAAGGAAATGTGATTGTAATCCTATACATTCTCTTACATGGCTTGGCTCAAGAGTATAAGGCCCTATATCTAAGTGGAAGGTTTAGGTTTCAAATCCTGGTTGGGGAATATGAAGTTTTCCTTGTCTCACAAATTTGGTCATTTCCAAGAACATCTATCTTTGAAAGAATTGTATTTTTAGTTTAGGATATTGACAAGGGTTTTCATTTAGTATAAGATCAAAAAATTCTCCAGCTTCTACACCTATATTTATGTGTAGTTCTTACATCAATGGTTTGTGTCACAAAATTTGCCATTTAGATATACATCTGTTTCCTTCCTTTTGATCAAGTCATTCTACACTCTTGCTGAGGTAATTACTTCCTGCCATCAATCTTTGGTGAGATTTTCTTTGTGAGATCCTGAGACTGAATGTCGGCAAGAGCAGGAAATTCATGACTATCTCAAAATATTGTACACATGAAATGTCAAGATTGATTTCATTGGGGAGGATTAGATTTGAATTCATGCAGTTATTGGTTTTACTTTTTAGTTGGTTCAGTTACCAGTGCTGTAATCCTATTTAATCTCTTCCTTAAGAATTTTAGATTGTTCTGCCAATATGACTGAATATCCTCTTAAATTTGCAAAGAGCTTAGTTTGATGTACAGAATACATGTAATTTAATTACAACTTGACATTTCCATGCAGTATGGTCTGAAATGGGGTTTTCTTTCTTGAATTTACAATTTCTTGTTTAGATTTACAATTTTAGCCTTCCTGTTTGAGAATGTGTTGATAATTGTTGACGATCTGCATTTGTATTGTTTAGTACCTCCGACTCAGCAATTATCGCCATCCAAGCTATTAGCTTATTTGAGAGGTCAATGAATAGAAGCCAGACACACTGGCACAGAGCCATGTTCAAGGACAGCCACTTCTTTTGCATTAGATTCCTCTTCCAAATATCTTTTTATTTGAACTACATGTACATGCAATGGCATGCAATCTTTATGTATGAGAAAAGACCGATGGAAAATCTTTTTGTGTTCATGTACATGTTCCTGAGTTTGCTTACAATTTGAACATTTGATCCAAGGTTACAAATTGTTGTAACCTTGGTTTCATTATAATGTCGAGGCTTTTAAATTGTTTCAGATATTATTATCACTTTGTTGAGCATTGTCAGGCTAGCGGTCCATGCTAAAATGACTGAGTGGGGCCCAAAAAATATTTACACCATTTTCCTAGCATTGTGGTGTCATGCAGTTAATATTGCGACGTTGTGGTGTAATAAATTTGTTCAGTTAGTTTTCCACTGATGTCTCTCAATTGTGTCATTTTTCTGATTTAAAGCCATTTACTGTGGACAATGAAAATGGATTCCACTTTACTCTTCCATGTCAGAAACTAAACATTGTAGGTGGAAAAAAACCTTAAATTGTTAGAATATTAATTAATTAAGCAATAATGTTAGTTTTTGACTCTTAAAACACTTCTTGACTGTCAGAATTAGGTTTTTACTCCATTTACACCGATATATAGTTGGGAACAGTCATTACACAATATTCATCATGATCGTTATCATGATTTTAAAGTAGCCTTGAGTTTGCAGCTTTTTTAATATCCTTTAGTTTTTTAGAAACAATATATGGTTCATATTGCTTCCATTTGTAAAGGCCAGCACTCTAAATTACAACATGTTCATATTGTTGCAAAGCTAATTTTTGAAGGTGCTTATGTCTAAGCAGACATTTTAAGATCAAATGTTCAAAACTTTTTCATTAAGCTACATGGCTGTTTAATTTTACAAAAGCTGGCAGTTTTTTTAATCAAAGATTGATGCAATTTTTTCTGAGAAAGCTAAACTAAGATATTTCTGGCAGAAGACACATTCTTGTTTAAATTGTTTTTATTTGCATGCAAAGGTCAGGGAAGTACTATTGTACGTGTACAAACAATTAAGTGTTGTTGTAACCATATAGGTTGTCTTCTCCCTGATCATTGCTTACTGTATTCTGATTAAGAAGATGATGATTGTTTTCCGTGATATCTTTGGTTATTATTTTAGATCGTGAGCAATGGTCAACTCACAATGTCTGTTGAAGTTACAAGTTCTTTAAACCAGGCTTCTGCTGTTGGTAAGAACTATCTGATGTAACTTTGTGACTGTTAACCCTTAGGAACCCTCTGTGCAATTTTTCTTTTACACCAAGCGTATCACTTACATTGTAATTGTTGATTCTTCTATGTGCACATTGTGTGATTCACTTGTGGAATTCTCTAAATGTATATTCGAACTATCAGTAGGACGTATGTCTTGCTTGATTGTTCAGATATGACTGAAAGCTGATCAGGCAGCTTTTCACTAAAAACTTGTCGTTCACTATTGTTGTAATACCATCGGGTAAACCATCTAGCTAGAAGTAAACCATGTAATTAACAGAAACTGTTGAATAATCTTGAATAATTACATGTCTTTGATTTATTTAACATCAAGCCACCGCTGAACATTATATAATGCCAAACAAAACTGTTCATTTTATTGGTAATGTCAAAATGAAATGTAAGTCAATGACATAAATAAATTGTAAAGTTGCAGGGGTTTCATTAAGGGCCAGGCACCGGGCAAATTGACTGGTTGTGAGGACGGCTTAATTTGCCCACCTGATTTGACCTTCTGGAGGAAAGTTTGTCTTATAAAGAGGTTCAGTTCAAAGAGTTTTGCCCGCCTGTGAAAACCAGTTGCCCTCCTGCAGAAAACATTAATGAAACCCCTGAAGTTGATAATACCTGTATTCACAGTTTGAATCACTTCAAAAACATGTGCATAATGTGAATACAGACATGTTTCCTCTTACAGTAGCTGTATCAATCATCATTAAGAGATGTAGGGCTTTTGATCAGGGCTTTAACTGATCAGGGTTTAGAATTCCTGTGTGGGAACATTGTGTCTAAATGTGCATCTAATGTGGGATAATATGGCTAATTGGTTTTGAGAAACAATTGGGCATAGAAGTTATTGTTAGTAGCTCCCCTACCTTTGAATCTTTCCTTGTCAGTAATATCAAAGTTTTAGCCCTAAGTTGAATTCTCTCAAAATTTAGAGACAGTTTTCCTGAGGGCCTATTATAAATGTGACAATAATCTTGAACTTAGTACTGTTAACACAATGAGACAATCATTAATCTGAGTATTGGGGTAGTACATGAGTTCTAGAGAACAATCTGTTTATGAATATCCAAGCACCTTCTGGTTTCTCCATCCTATAACTTGAAAACATATGGCGCAAGATCCTTCTCTGTAGCAGCACCATCATTATGGAATGCTTTGCTAAGTGAAATTAGAAATGCTCAGTCTGTGTCTGTTTTTAAAAGTAGATTAAAAACTTTTCTTTTTAGAAAAGCCTTTTATAATTAATATTAGCTGTCTTAAGTGTTAATGTTAAAGTTTTTTTGTAGGTGCCTTTGAACAGTAGGATACTGGCGTGGTATAAATCTTTTATTATTATTATTATTATTATTATTATTATTATTATAGCATCCATATTGTTTTTAAGTCAGCTGATAATTTCAAAAACTTTTGATTTAAAAATGCTTCTAACAAGCATCAGCCATTTTTGTGCATACATTTATAATTAAGTTGCATAGTTTACATGTATGTACTTGTCGATTGTCCATTCTCTTAGACCACTGATGCAAGTCACATTTAATGTGCTAGAGATGTTATGTACCAGTATTTGTCAAATTTTACAGCTTGTCTTAAATTAATTTTAACTTCTATAGTACACAGACTTTGAGTGTTAATTCACACGCATTAATTTGGAAATCCACAGCAACTCTGTTTAATGTATCTTCAAGTTAACATTTTGTCAGACATGTGTAGTTTTCAAAATTGTGTCATCCTACTTTTCATTTTCATTCTGTTATATTCAAAAGAAGCTACATATTAATGTCATAAAAGATGATCCAAATCTACAACAAGGTTAAAAGGGTCAGGACTCTTGACTATTTTTATGATTGATAATGAAGCACAAATTTATCCTTTACCAAAACAACTTTGCCCCTTTATCTGTAGACATGTGGAAATCTGTAGACATACTGACTTTCTATTTTTATAATTTGTTCTTGTAAAGCCTTTAAAATATCAATATTGTAACTGAGTTGATGATCAATGATGATCAGAACAGTTTTTAATTACATATGATGTTCACATCAATGTTGCCAATCAATCTCACTCCTTTACCTTTAGACATGTGGAATATTGACTATTTATTTATTTTGTTCTAGCAAATTAAGCCTTTTAATACATCAATATTGCAACTGAATTGATGAATTAATAATCAGAACAGTTTTTAATTACATTTTATGTCCACAGCAATGTCACCAATCACAAACTACCCTCAGTCACCTGGTGCTGGTGGAGCAGAGTCCTTTGGTTCTCGTTCTAAGAGGGCAGCATCTCCACAGCGAGTCAGCAATGGATATGCCTCTCCCAAATCAAACTCAATCTTGTCACCGAGAAAGTCATCCAAGAGGTTCTTCCGAAGACCCACCCTTGAAAAGAATCAGTCTTCTGACTGTTCAACACAAGGCAATGAAAAGAAAAAGCAATCAAATTCTCATCCACGAGTTGAAATTATTTACAAAGATGCTTCATCAGAAAATGAATCTGATAAAGAGACAATGGTATCTTCTTTAAAGAAGGCATTTGAAGCAGATGGAACACAGTCAAGTTATTCTGAGGATGGAGCACCATCAACTCTCTCTGAACAATCTGCTTCTCATTGTCTTGATGTGAATATGAATCGTATATCCACTGCTTCAGGATCTAGTCACACTGAGAGGGTTGTCCAGGAAATTGTTCTCACTGAGCAAGCTTATGTTTCACATTTACAAGAGATCATTGAGGTACATTTAATGGCCATGTGATTATTGAGTAAACTGTGACAATTTTGCAATCCATTGTACTCTTTCATTCCCAAGGACTAAGTTTTTCTCTCTGCACTGTCCATGTCTCTTTTCTTTTAGATAAAGATCTGAAAACTTGTTTAATTCTAATCAACCAATATCCTATAGTTGAGATTTTTCTTTCGTCTTATCACCTTTATGCTGAAATGAGTTTACTTTAGAGAGGAGGAATTCCCTTTTTTATCATTTCTGAACGTGTTAGAGTGAAAAAAAAGATAACGGGAACACAGAAGGAGTGTATTATTTGAAAACATAGTACATGCACGGACATAAGTATTAGAGGAAAATTTACTCAATGCCTCATGGATTTATTTGGTACGCTTTAAGGTTAATTTAGAGTCAGAATACTTTTTTTATTAATTTGATTTGTTTTTTACTCTGCTGTTTTGGTACACCACCATACCCCTTCCATGAAGGAAAATACCAAAAAAATTGTTGAAATTAATTTTTGCATAAGCTAACAATAAACTGCAACATTTAGTTGTTATATTAATTATACATTTTCATATTTTTAAAAATGTAAAAAGTGATCATTTATTAAAACATGTTAATTTAACTTCATCAATCTGTTTTCAGGGCTATCTGGAGAAAATGAGAAATGAGAAATCTCCCTTTTCAGAGCTGGATATTAAAGATTTATTTATGAACATAGAAGAAATATATGAATTTAATAAGTAAGTGCAACACTTAATTGTTACACCGCCTATGCATGGATTCAATTCAGTTGAATGATGAAGTTTTTTTTTCTGTTCAGATACTAGTGGTGTTTTGATAATATTTGTTTGCAATATGCAATCAGGCTTATCTGTATTTTTCTCAGCTCTTAACCCTTTACAGCCTAATGTTCATCAGCGTGCATATTCTCTATACTGTTCTCTATACATTTCCTAAGGTGCTGACAAGGAGAATTTGTTTCATAATCAAGAGCTTCTTTAGCTGTGGTGTCATTTTCTTTATTCTCCTGACCTTAATGCGTGATTCAGGGGTGATATTGTAAGGAGAAATTAGTTGTTAGTCACTTAAAGGGGGTCAAAAGTTTAATTAGTTTGTAGAAATTGCCTCCTTTGTGGGTATTTGTCAAATCACTGATAACTTAAAGGCAAAAGGAAGGACTTTTTGTAACATAATTAAATACCCACTAAGGCATCCTTTCATTCTGAAGGTCATTTCTAGCTGAACTGGAAATCTGTGGTGATGATCCAGTAGAAGTAGCAAATCTATTTGTCTCCAAGGTAAGCAGCAGTCCATGACTTTTGTATTAATGATGGTTGTAAAGCCAACTCTTTTAGAGTATGAGATCATTTTGTTTTATCAACTGATGAGCTTGTGACATTTTTCTGATTTATTTAAGCTACTTTATTGTGGATAGTGAAAATGGATTTCACTTTACTTTTCCGTGTCAGAAATTAAAAATTATAGGTGGGAAAAAACTTATTAATAGGTTTGTTGGCAAAGTGTGGTCTGTTAAAATATTAATTAAGTAATTTTGAATAATAATGAAATTTGGCTGTTGCAGAGAGTTTCTAGACCTAATGTTTCAAGCATTAGCCCAGACTTCTTCATTGGCTCTGTTCAAGGGCTAACGCTCAAAAGGTCTACAGTGGAAAATTTACCTTTTTTGTGTCATACCCCCCACCAACACAGCACCACAGTTTCTTTAGAAACTTACCCCCTTTATTCATGTAATAAATGTGAACTTGAGATTTTTGTGGGATAAGAGTTGACGAGGCAAAGCCTGAATCAATTAATATCCATAGAAATGGAGAGCAAATGATTTGATTTTTTAGTATATATTTACTGGTCCTTCAAACCTTAACAACAAGACACACTTTTGGGCTGCTCATTAGCTATCTTGAAATACATGTAGTCAGCAAGCTAAGTAGCGTAGCCATGACTCATTCCTTTGACATAGTTATCATCTTCCTTTCCTTTTGTAGGAAACAGGCTTTGTAACATATACAGAATACTGTACAAATTACCCAATGTAAGTGATAAAGAATGTATGTGATAGTTATTAATTGTTGCTGGCTAGAACAATGGTTTTTCTTTTTTACCGCTGTAAGTGTATGACGAAGAAGAATCAGACCAACTCAAGAGGGGAGTTCTTGTGTGGGGGTGTGACTCATTAAACAGACCTTGTAGATGTCACTTTTTAGTGGAACAGCTCTCCTCCTTTTGGCCAATACAAGAATAGTCACTATTGTATCTAAAGGTCAAAACAAAGTTTCCAGATAAAGTAAGCTTTTTTTCTCACAGACATCCTCCTAGTCTTGTACATTCTAACATTGTCTTTTTTAAAGCAGTAGCTGTTAGTATAGATACTCTAATACCAGCATCTAGTAAGTAAAACTATCCTTCTCTTAGTTGTATTATTTAACCCTGATGCATGATGTACCTTACAATAGTTCCATGGAAGTACTAACAAAATCCACACAGAAAAAAGAGACTGCCGAGTTTATAAAGGTATGCATGTCCATATTATAAATATGTTTGCTCCAGCAGATATGTGGTACATAATTATCATAATGTGTATGTTACAGAAACAGGTTATCAATAAATGTGTGATATATCTTAAGAATATTTTGCATTTAATCTTGGACTTTTCCTGGAAGCATTTACAATATATGATCAAAGGTAGTTTAAGTACTTAAGGCTTCTGTATTGTTTACATGATGTGAATATATCTTTTTGTCATCAGAAAATTCAAGTTGAATTGGGCCATTCTCTTCCTCTTGGGTCATACTTGTTGAAACCTGTACAAAGAATTCTAAAATATCACCTTCTGCTGCAGGTGAGCACCAAAAATTGTAACTACCAAACACCTTTCCTTGAATACTTCATGTGAGGAAACCTCTGCCAGGGAGAAGATCCAGGGTTTTTTAAGAAGCGGTGCACAGTTTAGAAAGGACACAACTAACGGGTGATGAACTGCTGCAAATACAAATGATTCAGCAGATTTTCTATAACTGCAATGTTTTAGAAAAAAAAACTGCTGTTCAGCTCAGGGAGTGGGGGGGGGGGTGTGGACCCCCAGCACCCCTTCCCTAGATGCACCCCAGTATACCATGTGGCCACCTGAGGGCAGAGCAAAGTGACTCTGAAGAGAGGCACCTGTTATGGTGAGGTGGTCAAAACATTTCTGTTGGACAGAAATCAAGCTAAAGCAGTGCTTGTAATCTAAATTTGTGCACTTTCATTTCGTCAGGATATTCAAAAGCACTTTGACAAAGAAAATGATCCAGAAGGTTATGATGTGATATCAGTAAGTATCATAGTCACTTGATGATGACAGCTTTTCAAAATTACCTTCGCCACTGATTAGCTCTTCCGAGATCTGATTAGTAATTCTTCTTTTTTTGGAAGCTAAAATTTGTCCTTATAAATTGCATAAGAGAAGTTTGGTGTTGCATCAATTGGATAACTGGACGAGTGCTAGTTATGACTTGAAGAAACCTTCCTAGTACTATACAGTCACGTGACTGTTCTTTCTGTGAATTTTATCCACAGGATGCCCTATCCACCATGACTGGAGTAGCTCACCACATTAATGAGATGAAACGACAGCATGAAGTAGCAGTACATGTGCAGGTAGAGATCAAGGGACTTGTATTTATTCCATATGATCTTACATTAACTTATGATATTCTAAGTGATGGGTTTGCTTCAAGAAAAATCATTTTAAAATAATAATCCTCTAACCAGCAAGGAGTTATATTTATGATCAATTAAAGATATGGTGCAATATTAAAATTACAACCCATACGTGACAAGGTTGTGTGTTCTCATTGTATTCTGACTCATTTCAACACTCACAGCAGTTAACCCTTGTGGTAATGATACTTCTTTAGCTTGCAATGTGTAGCATCTACTTATTTATTACTAATACCTGCCAAGACTAGCTAATGCTATATGTGGGTTGTGTAAATTTGCTTCTAATGTTCTATAAAATAATAATAAACAAACAAACAAACAAACCCTTTCGCTCCCAAGATCTCATTAGAATTCTCTTTACTGTCTGCCATACAATTCTTATGATGTTAGTTTGGAGAATTTCGTATTGGATCAACTAATAATTCCCTCATTGATCTTCTTCTTTATTCTCCTCACCTGTCTGCTTGATGTTGTATTGATATTTCAAGGAGAAATTATGTTTTGGTTATTTACTCATAGGAGTTAAAAGGTTTAGGGATTGAGGCAGATACAGACACATGATGCTTTGCAGTTCCTTAAATATTTTAAAACTTTAAGTTCTTTCCTTGCTGTAAGAGCGAGCTTAGAGAGAACTGAAATTCAGCCTAAGGCATAAAGCCAGTGAATTGATGTTGCATTTCAATGGTCCATTGTATTTGGAACTATTTTGACTATTGTACTTAACATTGGTCTCTTTTATTTGACCTTCCAATTTAGGAATGAAAAATTAGAGTTGTTTGATCATGTGGCTACAAGTTTTGCAGGACCTTTCTATACTTTATTAGGTTCCTAGCTATGCTAAAAACTGGAACAGAAAATATCTTTAGGGGTGTAGAGATCTTTGACTTTTTAGTCAGTTTGGTTCAAGTTTTGATTATAGTTAATGTAATTATGAGCAGTATCGAGGTTATATTGTAGAATTATAGTAAATTTGGTAATTTGTCTAATTACAGGAAATTCAAAGTCAGATGTGTGACTTCGAGGTAAGTGTGAAGAGTTATATTAAATTTGTTGTGACTGCAGTTTATCTCTTGTTACCAAATGCAGTAATGTTCAGTCTAAACCTAACTGCAGTAGGCTGTGATTGATGAACTTTTATTGCAAAATCATTTAATGTATTGTCAGTTGCTTTTTTCCTATATTGTCAATTGCTTGTGATTGAGATCACTTATGACCTTTTTCTTTTTCTTCTGTTACACTTTTGCTACTGCAGGGTCCTGATCTTACCACATACGGTAGTCTAGTTTTAGAGGTAAGAACCATCTATATTTGTTTTAATCTTACAAGATAATGAATTTGCTTTGGTTTACCATTTTATTATAAAGAAAAAAGTCAATGAGTTTGCACCCCCCTCTTTTACCATTTCCCATTCCCCTGACTAGTTGAATTGGCCAGCAGAGAGGGTTATCTTTTTTTTTTCCTATTGCACACACCAGGCACCTTGTTTTTGTTTGCTTTTTCTTTTATTTGATTCCTCTTTTTTGTTTGTTTATTCTGTTTGTTGTTTTTTTTTGGAAGGAAGTCTTCTATAACTTACAGCCAGTGACTTTCAGTGAATGAAAATTCTTAAAATAATACAACACAATAAGACCTCATAACAACTTTATTCTTTTTCTCAGGACACCTTTCGAATGCATGGGACCAGAACGGATAGATATCTTTTTCTCTTTGAGCAAATCCTTCTCATCACAAAACGGAAAGAAAATGGCTACTCTTGTAAAGCTACACTCATGGTAAGAGACCTTACTACCATACAATGCTTCCTGGATCGTTGTTACAAACGTAGATACACGTCTTCTCCGGTTTATTTTGCTTAGATAAGTCTGATATAGGTATCTTCAAAAACTTAAGCGCTTGGGAACATCATCCATTGCACCACTCCCTTCCCAGGATTAACTCTGCTACCCGTAGGCTTAGGCAAGTTATGCCAATATATCCGCTTTGCAATACTGAGCGTTTTAAAAATTATTTTATCAATAGACTTAGTTTTAAGCATAACTTAACTGTAAGTAATTAATACATATTTTAGCCCATTACTCTATATATGTAACACTTGATATGTATTTTATCAGTGAAATAAAGACTATTTACTTTACTTTACGTTACTTTTGACAACTTTGTTTGAGCAAGTTCAAAGGGAGATCAAAAGTGAAATCAGTGAAACTTCTTAAAGCACCCTTATTCACAAAAAGGTTTCTTGTAATGATGCCAGAAATCCCTTGTAGGGTCCTATGTCTAAAGAGACAGTACTGGCAGTTCAAACGGATTAGATCAAATGTACTCCCTGTAATTTTTTTTGTAGTTTTTTAATTCTTTTTTTTTTTTTTTTTTCTTTCTTTCTTGAGAAAGTAAGATTTTAAAAGTGTTGTATTCTTTGTATCAATTAAACATCGTAACAGTCTGGCCCCGGTTGTTTGAAGGACAGATAACGTTACAATGTATCCACTGCATAAATCTCTATCTGGTGGATATCGCCGTACGTTTTGTTAACACTTGTCCCCTGGATACCTTTTTATCTAGCCCTACCCCTTATCTAGGATACCATATCGAGATATTTTGTTATGCGTACGAAGTATCTTGATTATGGGGAAAGTGTAATTTCTACTCATCATCTGGGAATGAATGGGTTAATAACTAACTGTGAGCTGATTTAAAAAAGCGCAGTAACTCCTTAACTTATCTGTTTTTTCTTCTTCAATTTCTTGCCAGCTGTCGAACATGATGATGTTGGAATCAGTACCCAAGGAACCGCTAGCATTCCAGATAATACGATTTGATAACCAGAAAATAACCTACACGTTTTTGGTAAGTTAGATCGTGTCGCTAGTGATAAAAGATTGCTTTCTGATTCATCACAACACTGGTTTAGTACAGACCACAAAAAAATGACCAGCTCCTGGTTGACTGATTAACTCATGCAATTACACCGGTGTCGCAGAGGCCGCGAGTTCAAATCCCTGACAGGCCTGGATTTTATTCAAGCTTTATTTTCAGTACTGCGTAAGTTATGTCCATTACTGCGAAGATCGCTCTCATTTATAAATCCGCAATCCAAATATATGAAATTCAGTCATTCACAGTCAATGCATTCTGATTGGTTTGAAAAACTTTTGCGTTTGTAAATGGCTTTCAGTTATTTTTAGCTACTCAATTCTGTTTTTCCTTTCGTAATAGGCGAGGAACAAAGATCAGAAACGTCAGTGGATGTTAGAGTTGAAGAGACTGATTGTCGATAGTCTATCTGCACAAGTTCCCACCAAGGTCAGTTTACTTTGCTGTTAGATATTTGATTGGCAAGCTGCCACATGGCTGCCATGTGTCGCGATATTGTTGGAGCAAAAATTCTTCAAGGTCAATGTAGCTGTTTTGTATGGAATGTACTCTCTATCATTTTTGGAATCTCAGGATTCATCGATTGCTATCTTTTTCAAAATTCTTATTATTATGCATAAAAGCCTTTTTTTCCCTTCAGGCTAAAAATCTCATTCTTGGAAAGAAAAGTGTCGGGGAAACAAAAGAATTAGGTAAGATGATGGCTTCCTTACAAAACAATCCCCATGTACAGGTCAGTGCAATGCATTTCAGTGACTGGTTTCAGGGGCCTCATTATTATATTGGCACTGCAAGACGCACGTTCTTACGCCCGTGGGAAGTATTGAGCGAATCGGGGAAATAAATGGTTTGCCGGGGGTCTGGCACTGACAATTAGTGCTAAACCCCTTTGCAGACCTCTCGCCGACCCGCGTTGCTCAAGGCCTTACACTTGCCCGCGAGCCGAGAAATGTTCGTGCTAAAGCACTGATAACGAGGGCCTGCTTGCAGACTGAAGTTGTGATAAGTCGGCCAGAATTCGAGTGAATTTGAATGGAACTCTTCCCCTTTTTTAAGTTTCTTTTTTAATTCTTTTTCAAAACAGTCGATGTGTGGACGTTTTTCTTTTTTTCATTTTGTTTCATTTTTTTCAAAACGTCATTTTCAGTTTTCCAAACGGCGTTTTATTTATCGCTATCAGTTTTGCCAAGGTATTAAACTTGGGGTAAATCACTATTTCCTTATGTGGCAGAAACTCCAGATACTGAAGGGAAGAAAAGATCTTCATCTATCGACAGCAAAGTAAATAGAGGGGCGCAACTTAAAGGTATCTTAATGTAGACAGGACCAACACGAAGGTTCTTAAAAGTGCTGCCTTTGCTATGACATTCGCAAATGCCTGATATTCGCAAATGCTATGACATTCTATTCCAATAAGGACGATAAGCCTGAAGCTTCTCTGCACTAGTTGGCTGGAAACGTTAAAGAACCCACGCACTTCTCGCAAAGAGTATGGAAGGCCCCTTTCAAACCAGCTTTCAGCTTAACCAGGACAGCTGTCTAAATATTGCAAATGTATACGTACATACAACTCCCGAAGCGCGGGAACATGTTGACAAAATCTCGACATAACTACAGAAATAAAACAGTAATACGACCGAAATAAGTAAATGCTCTTTAATAACTTAAAGATGCCTTTTGGCTAACCTATAGATGTTGTGAATTTTAAGTGATGAAATTAAAATACCTTTAAAATCCTAAAGCCGTAATGTAAGTAATTACTTGTACAATATGATAATAGAGGCTAAATTTGTATAAACCAAGTAACTAACCAGAGTTTATGAACTTGCCACTCCGTGACTAACTTGTTTAGTTCTCATTGAACGATGTTTCAGTCATTTACTGTTGTTGCTGATTTGATAGAAGTTAATAACAAATTATTAGTAACAACGATTAGACTCGCTATCCTTTCTTCAGAGACGAACAATTCTTATCTTTGTGGTATAGTTACAGCTGATCACGTGGACGTAAAACTCCAGTGTACATCGTGTTAAACTATTCACCAACCTCCCCTTCAAAGTAAGTATAAACAATGACTTCGCGCCAAACCTTAGGAGATTGGATTAAATAGTCAATAGGAACGATTACCACGGGCTGTACAATACCTTTGCAAAAGAAACTTTAAACTGTGGGTCGCTTGAATAAGAGTTTGCGATTTTTTCTAAGGCACATAAAGGTATTAGGTGAATCTAAATAACCATCATATTGACAGGAAAAGTTTGGTTACCTTCAGAAGTTTACCACACGTCTACAAGTGTGGCTCCAGTAAAGGTAACAACATTTTATTGAATTTTTGAAGTTAATTAAAAAAAAAAAATTGAAATAATTAACTTAAAATTTATAGTTCTAAATTGATACTGTTAAACGATAAAAAGTCATACTTGAAAATTAACGGTTATCATAAAGTTACGAATTCTGGTTAATCCTGGTTAAACGTGAAACAGTTACTAAGACAATTAAATTGTAAACTGTTCCCCAGCAGGAATTGGCATTCACCTAAATTTTCGCGAATGAACTTTCGAAGTTCTGCAAGAGCGTCGATCATTTACACCTTTCGGCTAACTTTGGTTCTGTTTACGTTCTTTAAAAGGGTCTTCTGGATTTACAGGAATGAAGCGGGTATGTTTTGAGTTAAATTCTTAGATAACAGCTATCCACCTCAGTGTCGGTGGCTATTGGTAGATATTTACCAAGCTGCGAAGCGGCAAGGTTAATAACCATCGCTAAGTATTATCTTTGTTACTTAATTAACAATTGTTTATCCAAGTAAAGGTGAAAAGCACTATTCACATGTGCGATATATACCATAAAAAAACTTTTTTTACTGTAAATTGTCGTTTTTCTAGACGAAGAGGAGAGTCCTATCTACACAAGGAATTGTTGTGTTGATGTTTTACACTTTATTTCTCATAAAACGTGTGAACGGAGAGTAAAAAATTTACGTGTTCGTAAACTGATTAAAAACATTTTGCACTTTTTGTAGGAAAAAGTAAGCATAAAATCAGATGACGAGAGCGAACCCAGATCTCCATCAGAAGCGTACTCATCGGATGATGATAAGGTAGAGATCTTGCACATGAACTTTATTTGTTTGTCATCTGCTTTCCGTTTTAACTTCTTCTATCTTGAGCCCTCCTTGTTATTTCGTGAATAGATGTTGTCCCTTCAGTGTTTTTCTATTTTGGGGACTGATATTTTGTTGCGCCCTTCACGATGGAAGTAGGTTTGAACTTAGCGAAATGAGGTGACGCTCCTCCTTTAAAACAGGCCTTTCACGACGTTCTTGATGCGCTGGTCGGTTGTGGCCGAAATAAGGCAAATGGTTTGCGAAAAAGATCCCGTAGCCACATTCAGGTTTTACTTTTGTTTGTATCTTGAATTAATTATGGTCTTACTTTTTTTTTTTTTATTAAAGAAACCTCTCCGATCGCATTCATCCGTTAGTGACAGGGAAGAAAGCTTAGACGAATGCGAAGAGCCGGTGGAGGAAAAGCGGCGGAACTCTGATCACAGGGTTTCAACTCCAATAAACGAAAGTAGTGAAGATGATGCAGAGGTAAGGGTAACTTTAAAGAAGAGTCTCCAGTTGCCGTACTTTAAGGTCTTTAGAAGGAATTTCAGCAGCATGGGTCATATTCGCGCGCATTAATTGAATTTGGGAGAATGAATGATTCTTTTCCTCCGACAGAGGATCAATTTTTCATATCAAATATGGGTTCCAGAGACCTCCATTAGTAGTTTTCGACGTTTGGAAGGGGCAGAATGGAAGCTGTATTGGTTTCCTGTTCTGTAAATCTTTTCGAGCTGAAAGAAAATAATTGAGAAAAATTTTTGTACCAACATCAGGCACTTGCGCCTAAAGCGTATCATCCAAACGCGAACGTATTTCATCAATTATGGGAGCGATGTTTTTCAAGTTGCAACTTTCCATTCTGATAAACTTTAAAAGCTTAACGAAAGGCCATAAATCACGAACGCGAAATACATGAACAATTTATGTGGCGGAAAATCATTCTGAAACGTTACTTGTCATTTCTAAACATTCCACTCGTTCATATTTGGAAAGATCTTGTGATATGATTGTGGCATACAGCTCGGAGAAACTATAATTCTTGAATCCCCCACTGACTCCATACGCCCATTATTCACACATTTATCATTTTTAAGTTACGAGAGTTCGTTAAATACATGACAAATAATCGTAACAGAATCATTAAAAAACAGTTACAACACAAACTCCTTCTCCATTCTCTCTTTGTAGGAAAAGGTTCTTAATCATGAAGCACCTGAAGCGCAGCCAAGAACATACTCAGTACAAGACTCTCGAGGGGAAGTGGTAGGAACAACAGCTACTGAAGGAGTCGGCTTTGTGTCTCAGATTAAGAATGACCAACAAAGTGAGGCCGAGGTAACCAATACAACGCGCGAAGGCTTTACCGCGTCAAGCGGAATAAGGCAACGCTCCAGTAGCCTCTCCAGCTGCGATTCTGTCAAAGAGGCACGTAACAGAAAGAGTGTGACTAGAAATGGATCTTTTAACAACAAGGCCTCTTGTGAAGTCGGTAGCTTTGCGCACGCGTCCTGTGATAGCCCAAGCCAAATCAGGCGGTCTTCAAGCGGCGTCCGACTATTGGAAGCTCGTCGAAGCCTTGAAAAATCTTCGTCTGCTCTAGACTTGCGTGACGTGGACGAAGACTCAGCGTCAGCGTTTAGCCATGGCGACATAGAGAATTTCATGGAGTATTCCGCAATACAGACTACTGTGAGAAAAGTAAGTCGAGCGTTCAGTGGCTCTTCTCCTCCACCCGACAAAACCTCCCCAAGCGAGATCCAGATGCGTACTGCGCAGACACGCTACTTTGTGGAATCTCGAAATGCCCCGGATAAAGACTCTTCTGTCTCGAGCTCAGACTCCACACAACAAAACTTGGAAGAGCTACTTGCCTCTATTGACCGCGACCTGGATGAGACACGTCGTACAATTTCTTGCGCACAACTGTTAGAATCTGCTCTTCTTATTAAGAATGACGGCAGACCGCTGAACACTGAGACTGAGTTCACCAACAGTCTTACGCGTAAAAGGCGTCCTCGAATTATCGACTTTACAACTGAAAAGACTGAGCCCCAGTTGGATAAATCTAGGAGTTGTTTTTCTGACGAGCGGAATGGAGAGAGAGAACAATCTGAGCACGTAAATTGTCTGCGAGGTGAAGCATTCACGAACACTACAGTTTATTCCGAACAGGAAAGAGAGTGTAACTCCTCAGGAGAAAAAAATGGTAAAGACAAGCAAGAGTTGTCAATTTCTAACGAGATTGAACAATCACAGGCTTTTGCTCTTTCTGCTGGTTCAGAACCACAGGGCGACCAAGTCGACGAACCTTCTCAAGCAGTGGATCAAAACCAACCGCAAAAACGCGTTTTTGAACTGTTCGCCGATAGTAAAAGCGAAAAGCCATCAACAGCAATCGAAGAGGACGTTTTCGAGGAAACTGCCACACACGTCATTACGCCCAAAAAATCTAGCTTGCCGAGTGTTCACAAGATGGCGAGACAGTATTCTCGGAAAGTCGCCGAGAAACAAACAGTAGAGAATATACGCACGCGTGCGCGAAATAAAGTACGTGACAAGATAGATTCGAACACAGCGGTCAGTGATACGAAAGACAATACAGACCATACTCCTAAGATAAAAATTGAAAAGGTAACAAAGGTTTCATTCACTAGTACTCCGATCGAAAGTTACAAGCTCGTAAGGCGTCGAAGAAGGCGTTCGGGATCTTCTCGACATCGCTCGGACGATTTGCGGCGCCTGAGTTGGTCGGTCGAGAAAGTAAAACCAGAATCGGAGGAACCGCGCAAGACGAGACCCAAAAGTGTGTACGATATGGAGGCCTTGGAGGCTACACTGACAGAAAATATGGAACAGATCGAAGAGGGTCTGGAACCCATGTTAATCGAGGGATTGGAAAAGGATGATGTGGTCGTTAGAGGACTAGTGCAGCACTTAGTTAATAAGTTTAACTCTCACAAATAGACACGTTCTGATCAAAGAACTCTTATAAGGTTGTCCAGTCCGAGATAACATCTTCTTGCATAAACGTTACACGGTGATTTTGAGTCCATGTCCCAAATCATAGCCACGAACAAGAAGTAGAGTTTTTTCACGAAAATGCTCAAGTGCTACTCTTGTTCTGATAGTTATTATTGTTGGGTATTTTTCCGTGCTATTTATGACGTCGAGAGCGTCTGGGATTTGAAGGACACATTCGAGATAATAACACGTTTGCGGAGTTAGAGGTTAATCTGGTGTAATGTTATGAGTGGGAAATGTTTATTGTTATTGCTAATAAGGACATTTTTTCTCACTAGTGGTACTTCAACTAGTGAGAAGTTGGCTATAAACAGACCTCTCTAGACCTGTCTTTTACTTTCGAGAAAGTAATGACTTCTGTTTGTCTCCTTTAAAGTTCTGCAAAGGATTAGTAGTGAAAATTTTTTTCTTTGTTTCGTATTTCAAACATGTTGCAGACAGTTGTTTCAATGTAACAAAGTACATTTGGGGTTAATTATCGTTCAGAGTTATGGTCAATGCTCTGAGAAGTTGTTTTTGTATCCAGTTAACTTTGTCATGAAACAAGTTCTATGCGCTGTCACGTTGTGAATATAATGTGCAATGCTGGCGTTGCAGAGACATTATCGATATAGCTGTACAGTTTCGACATGTATCTATTTAATATCGCCGTGCCAACCTAGTACCCAGGTTCGACTCTCTCAGAACGAAACACACATGAGGAAGCACCTGGGAACAAGGCTGGATCGTAAGTAAAGTGCAGAAAGTTTTTCCTACGTGATCAATAGCCAAATTTGTAACTGAAGTGAAAGAAAGAATGTGCATTTAAGTTCATCCCACTCATAACTAGTTTACCATTTGTTGAGCTACGAGAGAAATTATGAGGGATTTACAAATCTTTGCATATTCGATTTGTATTTTGAAAAATCCTGACAAACTTTTACGTTGGTTTTGGGAAAATACTTGAGTAGTTTAAATACCTTCGCTGTATAGTTATAGTTATTTATTAGTGAGAACTTCTTAGTGATAGCTTAATGATAGATTAATGAATTATGTCCGAAACAGTTTTGATTCCGCTGTAATCAGCTGGTGGAAATGTTTTCTGTCCCTCTGAACTATCCCCTTCTAAAGAAAATAACTGTTTTTGTACAAAGCGTTTCTAATAATTTAATCATCTTCCATTTCCATGGTATTTTATTTGTAAATTGCTCTGTTGATGACGATTTGTAATAAAGCCAAATTTACGATTGTCACGTAGAATCCATTGCACTTTAATTTTTTTTTTAATTTTCCTTCTCGAAGTAATCCTGTGTTCCCTCTAATCCTATATTCCCACTGATCCTATGTTTCCACTGATCTTATGTTCCCACTGAGCCTTTGTTCCTGTTCCCACTGACCCTATGTTCCCACTGATCCTATGTTCCCACTGAGCCTACGTTTCAACTGATCCTATATTCCCACTGACCCTATATTCCTAATGATTTTATGTCCCCACTCATCCTATCTTTCCACTAATCCTATATTCCCAATGATCCTAGGTTTCCATTACTTCTATATTTCCACTGATCCGATGTCCTCACTGATCTTATGTTCCCACTGACCCTATGTTCCCACTGATCCTATGTTCCCACTGATCCTATATTCCCACTGACCCTATGTTCCCACTGATCCTATATTCCCACTGATCTTATGTTCCCACTGATCCTATATTCCCACTGATCGAATGTTCCCATTGATACCATATTCCCACTGATCGTATGTTCCCACTGATCTTATGTTCCCACTGATCCTATATTCCGACTGATCCTATATTCCCACTGATCGTATGTTCCCACTGATCTTATGTTCCCACTGATCCCATATTCCGACTGATCCTATATTCCCACTGATCATATGTTCCCACCGATCTTATGTTCCCACTGATCTTATGTTCCGACTGATCCTATAATCCCACTGATCGTATGTTCCCACTGATCGTATGTTCCCACTGATCCTAGGTTCCCACTGGTCCTTTGTTCCTACTGATCCTATATTCCCACTGATTTTATGTCCCCACTAATCCTATCTTTGCACTAATTCTATGTTCTCATTGATCCTATTTTCGCATTGATTGGGTTTCTACACATCCTATGTTCCTGCTGGTATTATGTTCCCACCGATCCTATATTCCAAGTGATTTTATATCCCCACTGATCCTATATCCCTGCAGATACCATATTTCCACTGATCCTATGTTCCCATTGATCCTATGTTCTTATTGATCCTATGTTCTCACTGGTCTTATGTTCGCATTGATTCTATAGTCCCACTGATCTGATTTTCTCACTTATCCTACGTTCACATTTATCCTATATACCCACTGATCCGATTTTCCCATTGATCCTATGTTCCCATTGATTCTATGTTCCCATAGATCCTACCTTATTATAGGAAATTAACAATGCATGTAATTAACGCGAATTTTTGAAATTCGCGTTAATTTTATGTATCTTAAATTACCTCATTGTTAATTAAAATGACGTTAATTAAAAGCATCGTTATTTAAAGACACCTTTATTATAAGCAAAGCCACAATTCCTCTACGTCACCGTCAGAGTCGGTTGACGCATCATCCTTTACTATTAAGTTCAAAATGTCCTTAGATTCATCAGCACTTCTTCAACTTTCTTGCACAAAATGTCTATCGCATTTTTGTCATCTCATTTCATTTCTTATGTTTTTTACCGGAAATAGAGAGCAAATTTTGTTGTTGGCCGTTGTTGTTTTCTGACGAAATGAGTGCGAAAAATATTAAATTCACGTCTTAATTATGCAACATACCGAACGGAAATTCGCGTTAATTAAATGTATGTAAGCATAACTTTTGGAAAATTCGCGTAAATTTTCTTCGCGTTATTAACATGCTTCGTTATATTCCTATAATAAGGTATATTCCCACTGATCCTATGTTTCCATTGATCCTATATTCCCACTCAGCGTACGTTCGCTTGATGCTATATTCCCACCGATCCAATTTTACCATTGATCCTTTGTTTCCATGCACTTATCCCATGTTCCCAAGGATCTTATTATCCCACGGAGGGCATTAGCATTTTGCGGTTTGGGGAAGTTTTAAAGTTTTTTGAACCTCCTTTTTTAAGTTCTGTAGAAACAAACTGCGTTACAAATCAACTGAAATGTTTGGAATATTCTAATCCGGATAAAAAGTTCAGGCGAAATCTTTGCGTTGCTGTTTATCGAAATAAATGGATGGGAATCATTAATTTTTGCTCTTTCAACATTTCTACTAAATGAATCCCTTCTTCCTGACCCCTCATTGTAATGACAAGCAAATAAGTCACTGCTGGTACCAATTCAAAAAGTTTATTCTTCTCCCTACAAAAGTTGTAGTTTATTTGCTGTAGTAACGTGTGGTTTGTTGTTATCTCGCTTTACAGTCTTAATAAAATTTGTTACCTATAGTCGAATTCTCTTGTCGAATGGATTTCCCAGTTTCTTGTTTTCAATTTACAAAGAAAGTTTAATTCTAAGTGACTAGCAATGATTGACTGAGAGTACTTCTCTTCTCGCTCCCCACAAATAACAAAATCAAAGACAAAACAAAGCAAATTTGCAGAATTTAGATTTCAAACTGAATGAAAATAAACATCAAGTTAAAGAATCAAAATATCTTCTTTAGTGCTTTTTCATTGTTAGTATGCCTGAGTCCTTTGTTACGACGATTTTCTTTTCAAAATGAAAAAGTCTAAAACGTCACTCACGTAAACTCCTTTAGCAGTTTACCCCAGGAAAATAAAAATAGACATTTGTCCTTGCAGAGAAGAACTGTGCTTTTACTCTTAAAAAGGTATATTTCAGTTCTTTGTTTAAGTAAATAGCGCCATCACAGCCGAGCGTCACTTAGATCATACATATTAATATTAATACATATTAATATTAATACATATTAATTACTTCACCTACTAACCTTTCTCCAATTATTCTGTAAAGGATGCAAAAGTGTTGCGTAAGTTTCTCAAATCGGTATATTAAGAAAAATTACCAAACTAGCACAGAGCATGGTGTTCGACAGAATAAGGAATCAAACGAAAGCGAGGCAATCGTTTATGAGGCCGTTACGACTACTGCATCTTGCATTCTGTCTGATCGCCTGTCGGTTTAAATGCCGCTTCTCCCAAAGCCGGCTGTCTCAGACTCCTCACCTTTTCTGCCGAGGCACCTGAAAAGCAGGAAAATGATAGGTGAATGTGTGGTGGACCGCGCTTGATATGCTTAGATACGAGCCAAGAGACGGAGTCTAATGCACGAGGGTGAGGCTCACTAGTTAACTATCCGGGAAAAATAAAAACAAAACAAGCAAACAAACAAACGACGTCAACAATGGGCGTAAACTTCTACAAACACACTCAGTTATTGAATCTATTCACGCTCCGTTCTCTTTTAAATTTTATAATTCCATAACTTTACATAACCTTCTCTACTTTTTTCGTGTTTTCGACGATTAACTATCGAGAAGGTAGTGTCAATATAACGTGAAACAGTTCATTGAATAACAGTTTTTCCCGTCTCCGTATTTTGATGAATATCCCTCCAAATCATTTACCATGAATTTCTATGACCCGTACTCTTAATTTCCAGGTCTTTCCAAGCCTGAAAAGTGGTATCAAAGAATTCCGTGATTTTCCGAGTTTTCTATGATTCGTGCAAACTCTTGATCGCAGAACACTCTTTTTGTCCGAGGGAATTAAGCTTTGCCGTCGGAAAACTGTCTGCGAACAAACAACTGAGCATATTTTGGCCACAAATGGGGACTATTGAAGATACTTTTCTTACTAGGCATCTTTTGATTGTTCTGTCTTAGCAAGCGACTCCTCCCAGGTCTGGGGATCTTTGACATTGGATCCTGCGGTATACTTAAAGACTTTGTCTTCCGTGGCGACAGGGGCAGCTCCGGAGGGCTAAACTGTCTCATTGAGGGCATACGAGTGGACTCAGGATTTTCCGTCTGGAAAATGAGAGAGGATCAAAAGGGGATGTAAACTTCATGCTTTACGAGAATCAGGGCACACTTTTAACGTTTCATATCTTTATATGAAAACAGAAGCAAACCTGGCTAAATGACTCGTTTAAATGACTGCTGAAAATCAAGCGATACCCCGATGGCTACCTCTCTTTGCTCCTTCTAAGACAGCCTTTCCTTGGTATACCACTTATACTTGATGCATGACTGTTTCGACGAGCATCACCAGTATTACTTACTCCGTCTTTTGCGAATGAAGGCTGAACAGCTTTCTTGACTGCACTGCGGGTTTTCAACCCCATGGTGGTAGTATGGCGGTCTGCCCCACTGCCGCTGGACACATGTCGTCTTTTGGCGGTTCTTGTATCGGTCGCTAGAGTAAAAGAGAACATTACGAAAACTATAGAGATAAAATGCTTCCGTGCGGGTTTAATTTGGAGTCTAACAAATTTAGTAGGTTTGTGAAAACCTAGACACCAGTTTTTCTTTATGACCTTTAGGCTTTACGTTGCAATTTTACCAAAAATGACCCTTCTCCAAACACAAGGAGCAGCAGAATAAAATCAATACATTTATAGAATACTTGCGACACTCAGCCACGAAACTTTGCTAATGGGCCTGTATTCACATTGTTTAGTATTAAAACGACACACACCTTGCTGGCTTGCCCTTTTCTTAGTATCGACAGTACCATTTGGTTTGGAAATTCCTCTTCTGTTAGCTTCAACATGCACATCCGTAGCTATTTCTTCAAGTGCCAGACTTTCATTCGAGGATAAGGTCTGAGGTTGTGTTCTTCTTGTTGTTGTTGAGGACATTTCTTGTGTGGCAGCTTCACGTGACGTGACGGTTGTAGGAGACTTGATAATCATGTTGGACAAGGATTTAGCAATTGGCGAAAGAGGAAAATCTCCCTTTACGAAATTCACTATTGAAGGCTTGGAGGAACTTGATCCATGTGAACTTTTTCCAGTACCAGCAGTGTCTGTACAAGGTGATGCAGTGTTCTTGTCCCGGCTGAGTTTTTCTAGCTCGTGTACGAGTTTCAGGTCGGTGGCGAAAGTTCTTCTCTGGTTTGCAAAGGTTTTCCATTCTTTGACTCCCTTTTCTGTTTGGTTAAACTGGTCTTTAACTTGCTTTAGCTCTTTACACTTATCCTCGAAATTCTTTTCCATCTTATCGAGTTTGTTTCTAAGAACTTCGTACGCAAACGTCAGTTCGTCTAATTTCGTATTCTTGTCTTTGATGGATTTTTCATTCTCTTTATCAGCAAGCTGCATAAATTTCTTCATTTCAGATAACTCTTTGTTCTTCTTCTCCAGACAGTTCTGCTCTTTTTCAAGAATTCTTGTTATTTCCGTGACAGTATTTGACAATTCTTTCTTTTCTTTCACTTCTTTTCGTAGCCTTTCCTCAAGTTCGCGGACTTTTTTCACGGATATTTCTAAATAAATTTTTTCCTGCCTCACAGAAGCCTCTTTCTCTTGTTCAAGACGACCCCTTTCTTCTCTCAGGTTTTCTACCTGATCCTTCATACAGTCACATTGTTGCTGCAGCCCTGTCACAACCTGAGCCGATTTACTGAGCTTCTCCTCTAAAGCGGCCACTGTCATTGCTAACTTAGTTCTCTCTTCGATCAGGCCTAAAACTAGAGATTCCTTTGTTTGCAGTGTTTCCTCAAGTTTAGTTGATTCAGAACGCAGAAAATCAACTTTATTCAATAAATCTTCTTCTCTGTCTTCCCTCTCCAGTTTCTTTTCCTCTTGAATCCTTACTAAATCCTTCTGCAGTGAGGAGTTCACATCTTCAAGTTCTTTCATCCTTAATTCAAGCCCGCTGCATGTCTCCTTTAATTGACTTACAATTTGGCGCTCTTCGTTTAAATCGGAGAGGTACTGTTGAATTTTCCCGTAGCTATGACTCCCTAAATTCCACAGCTTCTTTTCTTCTTCAAATTCTCTGTCCCTTTCATCTGCTGCCTCGAGGAGTGCATTCTGTAAAGGCAAAAGGAAAAAGAAACAAAAAGAACTATGGTTAAGAAACACCAATCGGTAACACACACGGGACATATAAAAACCTTTCTATATCGGAAGGTGAGTAAGTAGGTAAGTAAGAAAGTAAGTAATTAAATAAAAGAGTAACGTTTGATAGCAGTAGGTAAAAACACTGATAACTCGCGGCCCTTATAACACTATTATAAAGACCTAAGAAATCGGTACTATATCAAATCAAAAGCTATATACATCACTAGTCAAAAACTAATATCATATCAATTCTTAAAAAACACAAAAAGCTTTTCATGTATCCCGGTTAGCTCAATGGATAGAGCGCTGGACTGTTGTGCGGGAGGTCGAGGGTTCGAGCCCCGGCCGGACCAACACTCGGGGTCTTAAAATAATTGAGAAGAATTTGCTACCTTTCTATAACATCAAGAAATGGTTAGATATACTAGTCTTCTCGGATAGGGACGAATAAATGGGAGTCCCATCTCCAGCAGGGTTGTGGTAGGAGACGTTAATTTCCGACACACGAGATTCTGTGTGATGGATGTCCTCCCTTGGGGTGGGATAGGTGGGATATTGGGCGCACTTAATTTGGAGCCTCGCTCTGTTGTGCGACCCTCACCATACTCTGGTGGAAGTGATTAAATAAATAATTAAAAAAGTTCATTTTGAGTCCTGAGGAATTTTTCAAATCATTTAAAAATTTCGTATGTAAACTGCGACTGAAACTAGCAACTGATGCTTTCTTTCTTACCTTGACTCACTAGTGTTCCCTTCCGTACTTGCCTTAATAATTTACATGAAAGAAAAACGCCCCTCTGATTGGCTGAAAACGAGCGCATTTTTCATGTGACACGAGTGCAAATTTCAAATAGCGAGCGCACTGTCAAAATTTCGCCTGTCCTGAATTTTCATGTAAGTGATTCATAAGTAAAAACATGTTTTATCGTACAGTTTGATGTGTATGGATAAGCACGTGTAAAATTTTTTCAAAGACTACAAATTCCACTCGCCCTACCGGCTCTTGTAACTTTGTTGTCTTTAAAAAATTCGCTCCTGCATATTAACGCCAAATTGCACTCGAAATCATAATATTACTTAAATTGACCGTAAAGTTCGTCCACCCTCAGTAAGTATTTTGGAAAAATCAAGTTTAACTTAGGATATCGCATCTCTCCGAATTTGTAATTAGTAATCTACCAGGAAAACTCGGTCACCTTTTCTTTTTGTATATTTTTAAGATCATGTTGCAACTGATGCAGTAGGGATTCCATTTCTTGTAGTTCTTTGTCTTTACAGGTTAATTTATGTTCTAGATTCGTGACCATGTTGTTAAACGTCTGTTCTTGTTGTAAGGCGAACTCTCTGGCTGCCTCCACAATCTTTTGTCTCTCATCTTCAAGCCACCGGTCTCTATCCTGTCTTTCTGCCCGGAGAACTGCCAGCTACAGGAACGATAAAAATACAATTGAGTTTGAACTCGTATGCACGAAGTCTAACACCATTGACAGTGACGCACTGCAGCCAAGAAGTGTCTACAAGGCACCTGACTTGAGATACTAACTGGTCTGTAACTTACTAAATTTGATCAGAAAAGTGTAATTTTGCCAAGGAGAAACCCAAGTAATTCCCACGGTCAATCAAAGCGTAGAAAAATGTTACAAGGAGCCAATTGACTCTTAAAGTAATTAAAGATAGTCTGAAACGCAACCTTGTTCCCAGGGTCCTCTGTCTTCCTTCCTCGAGAATCCTGGGAACGAAGTGTCTGAAACGCGGGAAAACGTTAATACTAAGGATGGGCCGATACGGCTATTTCTAATCGATAAGAAACCGAGTACGATATTTACTTTTTTCTTCGATATCGATACCGATACTATGACGTAATTGAAATATATGGTGAGTCACGTGATCTGAGTGACTAAACGAGACACTCTCGCACGGTTTTCTGTCCAGGTCTCTATAGTAGCATCAACAAGACAGTCAAGCATGTCAAAAATCTAATTCATTGGGACTCATTTTTAATTTTCTCGAGGAAATGAAGAAGACTGTAATGGTACAATCTTTCTACTTACTAATGATATTAAGCAATCTGCAACTTTCACTTGCATTCATGATCATATATAAGGCTACACTGAAAGGTTATCAGTTACTGCACTGGTCACTGATAATAACCAACCACGTGCCCAACTTATTATCAAATGGATCCTCCGCTTCAATACTCGATACATCAGAGACTTCCAGGCATACAGGACCATACAGAGTGCCATGCTTTAGAACTATTTAACCTTTCTCAGTGCTTTTCTCGCTCGAGGTTTTTCTTAAGTAAGCAAGCATAGTTTGCGACTCATTTTTGTTACTCCAGATATGTTCTTGTAATGCCTGGATTGTTGTGAGTTGTGATTTTGTTGCCATTGTACTGAGTGACTTTACATTAACAGTTAATAAAATCGGGTCCTACTTCACAGTGAAATGTTGTACTAGGGAATGGAAGAAACCGCCACTTTGACCGGTACACTGGGGCATATGCAATTGTCGTGAAGACAGAGAAGTAGTTGTGAACGATCAAGTAGACGACAACAAGTATCAAATCAATCCTGTATTTAGGGAGTAAACATCTAACAAGAGCAATAGCTTAGCGAGCCGCCATGAAAACGCACTGCGACCATGTGTTTTCACGCGTGTGTTACACGAGACTAGTGGAGAATCGTAACCGCTGACCGCGTTCGCAACGATCACATAACAATGAACAATAAACAACAGTTTACGCGAGAAAGTGTCAAAATTATCAGTTTCTACTCTGAAGTCACTTCGACAGCAATTCTACATTGCACACAAATGTATACATGCACGATCTCGAGCCCGGAGTCTTTTCGGCAGCTTGTCAGCGGTTAGTTGCAGGAGATTTAAAGGGCGGGTAGGTCACGTGGAGTATCGATAGAATGGATACTCTTCGCTAGTATCGATATTTTTCGATCGCACCTCGGTATCGCTGGTATCGAATATTTGGTATCGGTATCGGCCCATCCCCAGTTAATACCTGAAGAGATAACGCAAAGACTTACCTCTCTTTCTGTTTCATTTGGAGCGTCCTTATTGCTTTCCACCAGTTCACACTGCGTAGCTACATCAGCCAGTCTACCCCCCAGAATTTTGTTTTCTTGCCCTGCAGTGTGTGGAAGGTCACAATTTAATATCATTTAGTCAAACATTTGTCATACGTGTACGTGCAGGTAGAGTAACTCAACAGGTACCAACGGTAAAAATAATAAATGGCCTTCCTTTTACAATTTCTGAATAGAATATCGTAGAAATCAGTGTTAGAGAAAATTTGATTAATTTGAAACCTAAGATTTGCTCCATGGACAAACCTAGAAATGTAATCCCGGAAAATCTTCATGGCACAGCATATGTTAGAATATAAATATCAGTAACCTGTCACACTCACAGTACTACCCATAAGTATTTTAGCACCTGCTTCCAAGTCAAGTGCATGTGATGCCTGGAAATTACTTGCACTTGACAAACACGAGGTGCTACAGTATACATAGGTATTACTGTATGAACAGTATATTAATTGTACATGATGTATGACTTACCCAGGGCATCTATGTTAGTGTTTGCCTCAACCAGCTGAGACTTAACTGTTGAGATCTCTGACAGTTTTATATTCATCTCTTTAATGTCCTCTTCCTTTTTTATGGAGGCACTTCGACATCTCACTTAATTCTTATAACTTCTCCTTCAGTTCCAAGTTCTTTGCTTAGTCTTTGCTTTTGAGTTGCAGAAGCTGGCTCAATGACTTTAGTTTTTAACTCTTGTTCTACAGAGGAAGTAGAGGGTAAAGATACCTGAAAAGTTAGAGGACTAAAATAGTAGTTTACAAGCACACACTATGAATACAGGTACATACATGCATTTTAAAGAGATTTTATCCTAATTCTTACATATGAATGACTTTTTTTCTCCTACTATTCTCATTGATTGATTGAAGGGGGATGGTAAAAGTAAGCGAATTATTTATTTCAGCCATGAGTTTTTACTGAATCTAATTAAGGCAATATGCTTCGATAAAAACTGTTCAAAGTCTGTAAAACAGTACATTATATTAGAGCATTCAGGATTGTCAGACAACAGGCACAACTGGTTCAATTTGCAGAATGGAAGCACAACATGTGTCACTTACTTTTGATAACAAACGGGTAACTCCAGATCTTTAAGGTTAAGCATTAACTGAGATAATGGCTGGATACCCCAACCTGAAATGTCTTTACCTCTACAACATTGCTGAACACAATGAAATAACAGTACTTTATCTAGAAGAAAAAGCAAAATACATGTATAGCTCTTAGAAAACTTAAAGTAAGTGTAAAACTTAAAGTAAGTGTAAAACTACTTAACTGGCATTCTGAGGATGATTGAATTAACTAGTTGAAATAAAAGAGAAAAGTGAGAGGGAAAAGTCATCAGAAATCCCTTAGTACATAATTAAATTAAGAATGTTTGTATATTTGTTATTTATTGGCAACAGCTAGACAGGCTGGCCTAGTTCAGCATTTTAAAGCTGAACTGGGCCAGCCCATGCTAGTTTTTATAAATTGGGGTTGTACACATATAAACAGTAGTAAGGCCAAACCACTAAACTGGGAGCTACATTCCCTACTATTTGCAAGAAGTGTGTGGGTTCTTCAACATCCCTTGCCAACCAGCACAGAGAAGATGCGGGTAACAGAACCTACAGTTCATCATCCATCTCTGAGAAGAAAAGAATGTCTAACCATTTGCAGATGTCATTAGCAAAGGCAGCACATTTCCCCTCAGTTGTTTTAAGACCCCGACAGTTGGTCAGGTCTGGGACTTGAACCCTTTGTTTTCTCACTTACTGGACAATACAAATCAGTTTAACCACCTTTCAGGACCCACCCTATGAGCAAGTGGGCCTGCTTTGGCCAATTTCTTGCAAGAATAAACCATGTCAGTGTAAACATACACTGTATGTTTACTGGAATTCACAAGGAAATAAAGCTAACAAAATTTTACCAGTATATGACTGTGAATATATGAATAACATATACGTGAACTGTGGATAATAGATGAGTACACAAGTAATCTTTGCAGCAATCATGATGTTCACTCTTGCTTTAATTTAGTTATCACCATGCAGTTTGCTTAAATGATATTTATATATTATCCACATTTATTCATTCACTCATCACTTCATGTGTTTTTTTATGAACCAACAAAATGACCTGCTCCCAGTTGCTTTGTTATCTTAATTGGTAGAGCACTGTACTGGTATCGCAGAGGTCATGGGTTCAAATCTCATACAGGTCCAAATTTTTTTCAGGCATTATTTTCACTACTGCTTAAGTAGTGTTTGTTACCATCAAGATCACTTTTACAAACAAGTATAGTTTGCAAATATAGTTTATAAACCTTTAATTGTATTTTCATCCTACCTCATTGTTAACCTTTACAGAATTAGCTTTCAGTTCAAGCAATTCTTTTTCAATTTCCCAGTGCTGTGCTTTCTCCTTTTGAAGGTTTTCTTCTATTTCCTTTAAGTTGTTTTCCTGATTAGAATGCCACTCAAGTTTGGTTCTTCTCCCAGTCTTTTCAGTTGACTTTCCAAAGCTCCTACTCTTAATTTCTCTATGACGTTTAAAGGGATGAGCAGTTTCTGTCAGTGCTATATTCTACATTACATTAAATAGTTTCCTTTTAAATTACAGGTCAGTTCTTGGGTAAAGATTGTATTATAATAATTTTGTATAACCCTGCTAATCTGAACTGCCAGGCAAAACAAAAAAGACAGTGTAGGATACCCCTGAGTTCAAGTTAGCTTGTCACAAAATAATGACTGAGACAACATACTTTAGGAGATTAATCTTCACATGGGCAGAACATTTGAGTTCACTGAGTCCAAGTTAGAGAGGTTGTAACCCAAAAATATCCTGCGAGCAGAGCCTTTTTAACCTGTCCTCGAATCGAAAAGGGAAAAAGGCTCTGCCAACATCCTGTTGTTGCTCATTTGAACATGCACGGCGGTTGCCTAGAAACTGATCCTTTTCCAGACCCCTTGAACTATTGTGGGCGCAGATTTGGTCATCTGTGTACATGAAAAACAAAGGCGTGCGCACCAAAACTGGTTTGATTGGAGGTAAAACTGGCTTGACTAACCCGGAGATTTGGGCTTTTGGAATTTCAAAGCAACGACAGGAAGTCGGCAGAGCCTTTTCCCTTGTAGGATTAAAAAGAAGAAAAGAAGAAAAGGCTCTGCTCGCAGGGTAACACAAAAAAAGAGAAAAGGCTAACTTTAATAAGAATTTGTATTATAATAATTTTGTATAACCCTGCTAATCTGAACTGCCAGGCAAAACAAAAAAGACAGTGTAGGGTACCCCTGAGTTCAAGTTAGCTTTATGCAATTAATTTTTAAATGTAGAGTTTAGGGCAAAGACATTTTCTGCAAACTGGCGTACTGTTTGTGATTGCGATGAAATGTGACTGTCAGTGCAGTTATATTTCTCAACCATGAAGTATAAATCTCTAACTGTGAATTATCCAGCCTGGATCACCCTTGAATGATAGATAGCAACAGTACACTCTCACTTAAAATGATATAACTGCACCCCCTACACGTACATACAGTTTAAGAACGGTAATTATGTTTTAAAATCTATTGATTGTCACTATCACGGGCTTAATCATCAGGCTAGGCTCTATGATGGACAATCAATAGCAGTCCTAAAGATGTCTGTCTTAGATGGAAATGTCTATCATGGTTAAAAAAATTAAGAAGGTATAAATTTTCTGTTGTTACAGATAGTCTCTTGAATTTCAGCACAAATATTTCAGAAGCACTAGGGAAACAGTAAGCTCAGCTATATGGGTCTTTTCCTCTCTGAAATAAACTGATTTAGCCGTATGACTTTTATTTCAAAACTTGATGGCCACTACAAACGATTAACTCCCTGCATTAAACTGTCCTTCACAAAGACACCAGAAGTGGATTGGAAATATTAACACAACAACAAAAACAGTGCACTAAAAACAGAATTTAAGTTTGTTGTTTAAGCAATTTTCAAGGGAAACCGTCTGGAGTAAGGACTGCAACATTTCAAATGATGCAGACACGTGCATGCATGCCGTGCAAAGCAGATCTTACCGGCGAGTTGTCTCTGCAGTTGGTTACATGAACTTGCCTCTTGATTTGGTCAAATCCACCTTCTGTTTTTCAAAACTTTCCACAAGTTTGGGGTTTTGATCGTGCTGCAATTGATCCAAAACAAAATCCCGCCATAAATCGAAAACTCAGTATCGTTGTTCGATCAGTCGATGATCATCCTGTGAGAAAATAAATTATGACAGTTGGATATTTAAATCGAAGCCATTCTCGATTGTGATTGGTCAATGTCATGTAAATCTCTCCGAGAACAGAGCTATTTTTAGTCAGGGAGCTGATCGAAAAATTTGGGTTTTGTGCAACCATCGCACAGAAAAAGGCGAAAGCGATCGATCCTTCTCTCAAGTCATTCTACAGTGCACTCAGATGAGAGTTCATCGTCAAATTTTTCTGTCCTCAGCCATAAAAACGACAATGCCTAACATTCCGAGTAAAAGGGCCATTTTGATGTTTTAAAAATGAGAATATTTATAGGGCAATTTAATGCACCCAATTTAACTTATTCAAAATCTACAGCAGTCACACCTGCCTGTTACCTGTGGAATAATTGTTGAGACGTTGTGACTTTGAACATTCCGGAGTGTTTCCTGTTCGAGGACTGATCAACAACCCTAAATATAAATCTTCTGTGATCTTCTAAGGCCTCTTTGTCTGGTCACGAGAGAAGCTGTTCCCAGTAGGCTTGCCTCACTTTCAATTTCCCACCTTTTAGCCAACTAACCAATCAACGATCGAGAATGGCTTCGATTTGAATATCAACTGAAACCAACTGTCATGCACTCACAGGAAATCGGACAGCAACACCACTGGGTTTCCGATTTCTGGCGGGATTTTCTTAATCGAGGTGGTGATTCTCGGGCAGTTTTTCGTAAAACTTTGAGGCTTCCTTGTGCAATGAGTTGGGCAAAAGAAGAGTGGAAGCAAGAATTATCTGCCAATGCTCTTAAAAATGTGTACGAGCTTGAGCAAAGATGTGAAACGTTCCAGAAGGACTGCAAACAAAAGCAGTTTCAATTGGACAGTTTACAAGCTGCTTTGGCCAAACAGAAGAAACTAACAGATGACGAGAAGGCAAATTCTTCTTCTTTAAAGAAAGAAAATCATTCCCTGACTGAATCCATTCAAGAGTTAGAGCGAAATCGCGAAAAGACTCTTCACGATTTGAATGCAAAGGAAGTGCAGATTCGTTGCCTTGATGGGAAACTTGCTCGCTGTCAACAGATGCTCGATACTGAAACTGCCAGTAAACTTCGGTTGACAAATGTTTTGGATCATTTGCAGCACGATCATAACCAGCTTGTGGAAAAACTTGAAAAACAGACGACGGATTTAACCAAATCAAAAGAGGCAAATAACCAACTGCAGAGACAGCTCGCCGGTAAGATCTGCTGCAACGGGTAGGAGTAAGTTAGTGTCTTCATTTGAAATACCCTTGCTCAAGAAATGGCTAGGCATTCTATAAGTTACTTATTTAACAAATTTAACTTTTGTCTTGTACACTGTTTCTGTTGTTGCTGATTTTACGTTTCCAACCCACTGTTGGTGTCTCTGGTAAGGACAAATTAATTTTTTACTTAGGGAGAAAGAAGAGGCCTCTATTTGGATGATACATGTAAATCATTTGTAGGAGTCATCAAGTTTTGAAATCGACAAAACCTTTCTGAAATTGGATTACAAGAAAATTTGTTAAATCAGGTTTATTTCAGAGAGGAAAAGAAGCATCTATCCGAGCCTAAGGTTTCCTAGTGCTTCTAATCTATTGTGCTGAAATCTAAGGGACCACCTAAAATAATAATTTTTTTACTTGATTTTTCTGGATCGTGATGGACATCTCTATCTAAGGCAGTCATCTTTAAGACTGACTGATTGTTTGTCTAAGAGCCTGAATCTGATAGTTAAGCCTGTGATCACGACTAGAGATTTTGAAACATGATTGTCATTGTTAAAACTGTCTGTATAGTGAGAGGTGCTGTTATGATTGCATTAATTGTCCTTTATAAGGGAGAGTGAGCTTGATGTCATTTAAGGAGTGTTCAGTCATCTGTGCTACTTTCTGTCCCAATCAAGCAAGCATGAACCAGGCTGGATAATCTACTGGTGGCCATTTACACTTCCTGTTGAGAAACATACCTGAACTACAACCAGCTGCAAAATGAACTGAGACATGTTATCACCACAAGAGAGAATGTGTTCACCATGTGATCCAACAAAATTTATCCTCACCCCCCCCCCTGATATGTTGGTAGCTAAGTAGTCTCATGTACTAAACTTTGATAAACAAGATGAACAACATTCAATTGGGGAGGGGGGGCAGCATTCATTGTTTCACAGTAAATTACTTCTTGGCCATCTGATGAAGTAAGCAAATGGTTGTCAGAGTCATATTCTAATGCAATCACAAAGAAAAAACCAGCTTCCAGAAATTGTTTTGCCCTGAGATTTACATTTAAAAAATTAGCTAACTGTTCAAAGTCAGTTTACATCATAGACTGTTCAGATTTTATGAATAAAGCAAATAACTCTAGGAGAGAATGATGAACAGTTCTAATGAATTCTTACAGAAGTTAGGCTATTCTTGTTTCATGTTAGAATCTCTCCAACTTGGACTCAGAAAACTCAAACTTCCTTCCCATGTGAACTTCTCTCCTGATGTATGTTTTTTCAATAACTTATGATGAGCTTACTTGAACTCTGTGTTTTTTAAATTCCTTCTTGATTTGTTTGGCAGTTTGAACCGTCAGGGTTCAATACAAACATAATCATAACACAAAAAGTTTTTATCTAAGACGTGACTGTGTAATTTTCCCAGAGACTATTGGTAATAAAACTGTTTGTCTTCAAAGGTCATAAAGAAAGAGTAAGAGCATTAGAGAGTCAACTGAAAAGACTGGGAGAAGAACCAAATGCAAGAGCACAGAAGAGCTCATCAGGATCAGAATCTGAGATGGAGTGGCATGCTAGTCAGGAAAACAAGCTAAAGGAAATAGAAGAAAACCTTCAAATGGAGAGAGAACAGCGCCAAAAAATTGAAAAAGAACTGCTTGAACTGAAATCCAATTCTTTAAAAGTTAACAATGAGGTATGATGAAAATATAATTTATAGATTTTTAACACCTACCAGTATTAGTATATATATGTACAAAATGGTATATAGTGTTGAAGGTGCAATCTGATTATCTACTCAAATTGTGACCATCCTTTGTTTCTCGCCTCCAAGTAACTCATGTAGGATTTGTTACAGGACTAAATGATTTGAAATCATCTTTTCCTGCCATGTTACCTTAAGTTGTTTAGGATACACTAAAACAACTGTTCATCTCAGTGTCTATGGCTAGCAGTGGATATTTACCTTGCTGCTTCATGGGATAGTTGTTCATCTCAGTGTCTATGGCTAGCAGTGGATATTTACCTTGCTGCTTCATGGCATAGTTGTTAACTATCGCTTTTATTTCCTCTGGAACTACTAAACAAACAATTTATATCAGGGCTGTGATCTAGCAGTGCCTGGTGGCCCTTGGCGCCTTACTTTCACTCTTGGGTAACTTGGGAATTTTAGTTTTTTCACATAAAAGCATAGGCTGGGCACCCTGTATTTCAAAGGTTCAGAGCAGTGGGCTCCTTTCTCTTTTTCGTAGAGCACAGCCTTATAAAAATTATATATTTTCACTGTATTCTTTCCACAAATTGGCCAGAGCAGGGCCAACGGGTATATTTTAGGGAGGCTTTTGTTAAAAAAATGGGGTCCTAAGAAAGGGAGTACCCCAAAAGACATTTAAATTTATTAGTATAGTCCAGTCAGTGAGAAAATAAAGATGAGAAAAGCCATTAAGCTTAAAGACAGTTTTATACTGTATACCAGTACTGTGGCTTTCATATCAATCTTGTGAATTATATTCCCTCTTCTTGGGCACAATTGTTTGTGACCTACGAAACTAGGCCCATGGTTGTTTTTGGTCCTTATCAATGATCTAGAAATTAATAATGCAGGCAATATCTGGATGTATGTTGATGATACAACTACATCCGAGATCGTCGTCAAAGGAGCCAGTAGCAATTCCCAATTAATTGCAGATACTGTCGTGTAGTGGTCATCTGAAAATAGAATAAAACTAAACAGTGAAAAATGTAAACAGCTTAGGATTTCATTTGCAAAGAACAAACCACAACTCGCACCTATAGTAGTAAATAAACAAGAGCTAGAATGTGTCAAAAGGACCAAATTACAAGGTGTTACGATCTCCAACAACCTTACATAGAATAAGCGCGCATTATCATTTAAGAAAGCTTCTAAACGTATGTATTTCCTAATACAATTGAAAAGGGCCAATGTTGCAAGGCAGGAATAAATTCTATTTTATACATCTTGTATAAGGTCAGTCCTCACCTATGCATTGCCTGTGTTTTTCTACGCCCTACCATTGTATTTAAAGAAAGATCTAGAGAATGTACAAAAACGGGCATTGTCAATCATTTGCCCGGGCCTTGCCTATAGAGAGGCCTTAGAGCTTTCAGATATTATGTCTATCAATGACTACATCGCTAGCTTATGTAAAAAGACCTTCCTCTCGATTGCTAATGACTCGGCCCATCGCTTACATAAAATGCTTCAATTGTCAGGGCCATCATGTTATAATCTCCAGTGCAAAATGCGTTTTGTGATTCCCAAATGTTGGACCAAGTGTTTCAAAAATAGTTTTTTAGTAAGGTCATTTATTACACGACTCGGGCAGTCAGAGGGCCAATAACTAAAATCAACCAATCAAAATGCTCTATTGCTGGTCAATATTCTCTAAGTATTGGACCGGGCACTGTCCCGAATGACACTGCTCGTGTCTCTTTGAGCTTCAGTCGTATAATAAATCTCTTATTAACCAAGCTTGCTCGGGACCGTACTGGAAGAATATCAGCCCTCGGTCTTTTTTGTACGGACCTTGCTGCGCTCCGTCCGCACTGTCAAGACCTCGGGCCGATATTCTCCCAGTATGGCCCTGGTGCTTGGTTAATAAGGTATATGTATTAACAACGAATTTTAGTGCTCGGTGAGTTTTGTAAATGAGATCGATGCCATTGTATATATTTTAACAGTTCAAGCTTTCATCATATTTATAGGATATTATTATTTATTTAGGACTTAAACACTACCATATTACTATTATAAGTTATATTTTATACTTTTTTGTAAATACACAATTCAACTTAGTGGCTGCAAGCTTTTTACAAATAAACTATCTATCTATCTCTATTTTTACCTGTAGACGTGACGCTCTGACACAATTTTTATTTTGGAATGGCAGAAATCCTGCCACAGACATGCACTAAATTAACTCTGTGTCAATATATTTATGCAAAAGTAAAACTTGATGTATGGGCATATTATTTTTAGTTGTGGAACAAAAAGCATGGAACAACTATCGTTTAAACTATATAGCCAGCAGGGTTTTTCAGAGAAACCAGTGAAATGCACCAGTTACTGGCTTACTTTGACAAACTTGAATGCTCAAATATTTGATAAGATTTTGTAACTATTAAAAGAATGATACATTTGGACTTTGAGCAGTTGTGAGTTGAAAAAATGCATTTGATACAATGAAAAAATCATGGCTGATGAGCTTTTGCCAGAAGGATAAAATCACTTTAAATTGCCTGTTTGTATACATGATAATAGATTCATTGTTGTCTTCTATACTTTTTCAGGTATCTTTGCCCTCTACTTTAGAAATAAAAGACTCCACTGTAGAACAAGAGTTAAAGTCTAAAATCATTGAACTAGCTTCTGCAACTCAGAAACTAGAAGCAAAGGACTCAGAACTGAGGGAGAAGTTGACAGAGTTGAGTAAAATGTCAGAATGCCTTGACAAAAAGGAAAATGACATTAAAGAGATGAGCACAAAACTGTCAGAGATTTCCACAATAAAGTCTCAACTGGCAGAAGCAAACACTAACATAGATGCCTTAGGTAAGTCATACATGTACAGTGATACTCATGTAAATTGCAGCACCACCTGTGTGTTAAGTGCAGGTAATTTCCAAGTATTACATGTTGCAATACATGTGAGCAGTACTGTGAGTGTAACAGGCTACTGATATTAATTAATTTTATGCTATAACAGTAGCATACCATGGAGTTATTTGACACGCATCCTGCATACTGCTAGGATCAGCAATGTCAAGAGCACTGTAGTTTTTTTTTTTTTTTTTTTTTTGTAGATTGTAGATAGATGGTAAGTTTTGAGCTCAGTAAAGAAATATAGAAAGATGTTTATTGTCTAGTCTCACGCACATTACTAGACAATGAACATCTTACTATATTTCTTTACCAAGCTCAAAACTTACACTGTACCACCTTTCTTTATTTTTTACCCAAAAGGACTGACTCTACAAATAAAGGGTATGAACTAAAAGCCTTGTTCTCTGCCATTTTGCAATAACAAAACTATTGACTAATAGTTTGTGCAATTTTTTATTTTGACAGAAAAAAGGGCAAAGCAAAGAGAGTTGGATGTGGAATGTCAGCGCCACAACTCAGAGGCTGTCATCAAAGGGTTGGGTGAGAAGTTGAAGGCAAGAGATAAAGAACACAGGTGTGATACATTCTCAAGTTTTGTTCAGATTAGCTATGTTAAGCTGTTCTTCATCCTTGACAGAGTCAAAGAGTTGTGTTCTTGGGAAGGCACTTCACTGTCATGGTGCCATTCCAAGCAAGAATATTCAGACAAACTGTCAGGAAACCTGAGGTAATAATCTCAGGATCATGGCAAAATTGTACAGGGTTCATATGGGTCCTGGAAAACCTAGAAAGTTGTGGAATTTATAAAAATGAGATTTAATTTGGCTAGAAATAAACATTAGCCTGCATTGCAAGATGTACAGGTGTACACTTGCAGATGTTTTACTTTACACTGCATTACATAATTTTTAATGTAATTTCTTTGCTATTTAAATTGAATCAATCAGTACACTTGGTTAACCTAGGACATTGAATTTTTTGGAGAATCCACAAAAAAAGTTTATAATATGGAATTTTCTCAACTTAAAATACATGCATAAACCCTGTTATGAGGACTAGCATCCCATTCCAAGGGGAGTAACAATACCTCAAGTTGCATCATGATACAAAAACAACCGCAAGTTTATCAGGACAGCAAATTGGAAGATGATGATACACCACTTTCATAAATGGCTACCGGATTGATGTTCTTTTGTTTAAATTCAAATTAGCCTCACTAGCCTCGCTTGAGATAATGCATTCTTTTGAATTTTGAACTGGAGAACGAGGCCAGAAAGGCTAATTTAAATTTAAACAAAAGAATATCAATCCGGCAGCCATTTATGAAAGTGGTCAATAGGGATGACCAAAAACTTTCCTACCCAGTCTTCCCTCCCAGTGTTCTGTGACCCACAAAGAATTCCTTGGCAGACTCTATGTGAACTTATTGAGGGACAGTCAACATAGCTGACTGTCAAACAATTGTGGGTAGTTTACCATTTATTTCATTTAACTGATGGAGAATTTCATGCTGTGTTTGGCAACTGATTTGATGGGCATAATAGAAAAAATTTTAACTTAGATACAGCTGTAAATATGACACTGGTAAATTTGACAAACATGACCTTAACTCAATACTTGTTATTCCCTACTCTGAATATTATTCAGTTTGTGATATCAATAGAGTGCAACCCAAGTCTAGCACAAAATATATAAGTATTATATTACACTGTAATATAATACAGAGTTCATAATTGGGTCCAGGAAAATCTGGAATGTCCTGGAATTTTATTTTGGCATTTTCCATAACTGGAAAGTCCTCAAAAAAGACTACAGGTCCTGGAAAGTCCTGGGAATCTGCTTAACTCAAGCAATAAAGTTTTCAGAATTTACTTTATGAGAAATGCATGTAGACTGTAAGGAGAATTGATTTTGGAATCTTGAGAAGGAAAGGGCTTAAGGGAAAAATTTGTAGCCCTGGAAAAATCAATCTGAGTCCTGGAAAAGTCCTTGAAATTTTTTTCCGAAAAAAGGGTACAAACCCTGATAATAGTTGGAACTCTCTAGGAGAATTATAATTATATTCCTCAGATGTCAAGCCAGATATACACTGTAACTGAAATTACTAAACCAAAATTGAGTAAGCAGCCTACATGTCTTATTAAATTTATTATAACATAAAAGACTTTATTAAAAACTGGATCTGTTCATTGGATAATGCAATTCAAGACTTTTTATTGCCTTAGCTATTATGGTATATGAACCAATATACCATAATCTAATATCTGTAAGTTGTAACATCCGGTTTCTTCTTACAAAATTAAGTCAATATTATGTCTAATATCTTGGAGGCATTTTTTTTTTAATAAAACAATTATTCCACTCGCGCTTGTTGGATATGAGATGATTATAGCCAAGTCGGCGCTACGCGCCTCGTTGGCTATCTATGATAGTTTGAGTTAAAGCCAGTTTTTCTTATCTTTGTTAACAGACAAGAGATGCATTCACAGTCACAAGCCATTGTTGCATTGGAAAAACGTTACTCTGATCTTGAGAAGAAATCAAGTAATATACAAAACAAACACGAAAACAGTCAGAAAATGATAGAAGCTAAAGATCACGAGATTGCTCGGCTTAAAGCAAACCTAAATGAGTTGGAAAACAAGTTTAAACAGCAGAGTTCTCGCCTTGATAACAGGTACACAGAATTAGGGCAGTAGGCAAAAGACCAGCTCGAAGAATGTGGTAAGATGAAGAAGGAACTAGATGATGCTAAACTGGCTCTTGTGAAAAAAGAGAGCACAATTGCTGACTTGAACAAATGCATTGAACAGATGAAACACACTATTCAAGAGAAAGAGAACGATTTGAGTTCTAAAGAGAATGAAATTCAAGAGTCACGTGGTGAAGATAACAAGAAATTAGTATCAGCGATGGAGAATATTTCTCTGTTGCAAAAACAGAAGCTGGATATAAAAACTGAAAGCCAAAAAGCATTACAGCAAATCTCTGTTGAAGTAACTGCAAGGTCGAGAGAACTTGAACTTGAAAGACAAGAAGTAACCAAGTTCAAGGAAAGAGTTCTGTATTTGGAGAATGTTGTCGATGGGAAGGAGAAAGAAAATAAGAGGAGTGAAGAGTCTTATAGGATTCTTTATGACAAGTTGCAAGCGGCAGAGGTGGACATGGCCAATAGCAAGATGGAGTGGATAAAAGAAAAAGCTGTTTTGGAGGAGAAAGGAAGATCTTTACAGGGTGCAATGGAAGTAATGAAGAATGATTTTAAGGCAATGCAACATGACTACAAAAAGGCTTGTGAGCTTGCCGATATGAAATCAGCGGAGGCTACTGATGTGATTGATAAATTGGAATCCTCGCAGAAGCAATGGCGAGAGCTTCAACAAAGGCTGAGTAGAACTGAGGCAGCTCTTGGGGAGAAAGAAAACTCTGTAACTTTGGTGATGCGGGAAAAAGATGAATTGTTAAAGGAAAAACAGCGCAAAGAAGACGAAGCTGAAAGAAAAAAACAAGAGCTAGATCAACTACTTACTGAAAGAGTGGTAGAAATTGAGAAATTAAACGAAGTGTTGGAATCCACAAACTTGAAGTTGGAAACAATGAAAGTTAAATGCATAGAGAAAGAAGACGAGATCGAAAAAATGTCTTTAAAGTTGGGAAGTATTGAGTCACAGTACAAAAAGGTCTAAGATTCTTTCCAAATCTCTGAAGAAAGTTTGTCAAACAGCAAAGAAATACTGAGGAAGAAAGAGATTCTTTTTCAAGAAATATCGGCTAAATCGGAATCAAAGGAGAAAGCCCTGAGTGGCTTGCAACAACAACATACAAAAACTATAGCAAAACTCAGTGAATTAGAAAAAAAATACAGGTTCCTTGAAGAACAAAAGGAGGAAAATCGGAAAATCATTAAAAGCAAGGACGAGGAAATTGCTTCAGTATTTAAAGAGATTGATCACATCAAGAGTGACACTGAGAAGAAACTACTTGTAATGAAAGAACAGTGTAATACAACCCAAAATGAGATTGTGTTTTTGCAAGAGAAGGCAGAAAACTTAGAGATTTTGCTTCAAAGTAAAGAAGGAGAGTTGATTGAGAACAAGCAAGAGTTAAATAGCGCTAAAGAAGAGCTTGTTACTCTCAAGAGGCATCTTGCATTAAAGGAGGAATCAAGCAAGGAAAATGGAAGAGAAAATGAAAAAATGAACAGTGACTTGGAGCAAATGGCTGTAGTTCTAAAAGCTAAGAATGTGAAGTTGGAAGAACTTACAGTGAGTCTGGGTAATCTTCGATCCGAGTACGAGTCCGTTCTGGAACAAACTGGGCTTGAATTGGACCAGCTTAAGAAAGAAGAAGAGAGATTGAAAGAACGCCTTGAACAAGCAAACTCTGTTGCAGAGAGTAAAAAAGAGGAGTTAGAGACTGTTAATTCTCAGTTAGAAGCTTCAGAAGCCGAAAAAACAGAATTAAGCTCCATGCTCGATGAACTTTGTAATACTAACTTCAAGTTGGACGATCAACTCGTAGAGAAGAGAGCACAGCTCGAGCAGTTGTCAGAAATCGTGAAAAGCAAAGAAGAAGAGCTTTTAAACCAAACTAAAATCATTACAAGTCTCGAGAAAGCCAAAGACGAGGAAAAAGGAAGAAGTAATGAGAAGTGTTCCACTCTTGAGAGCCAGGTAGCGTCATTGCAAGAAAAGAGCATTCATTTGGAAGCCTGTCTTCAGACAAAAAAGGCTGAGAGCGGCATTGCAACAGAAAAAATACAACAACTTACTTCTGAAATCCTTAATCTCCAAAATGAGATTGTATCAAAAGGGGAGGTGATTTCAGGAATGGAGAAAGAGAGGGCAACATTAATAGAAACTTTCCAGTTCAAAACAACGGTCCTCGAGAAGAAAGAAAAAGATTTCAAAGAAGTTTCTGATAATCTTGCAAAGTTAAAAGCAAGTGGAAAGTCAACTCATGAGGTAACACTCGCAGAACTGGAATCCTTGAAGACAGAAGTTGCTTGTTTAACACAGAAATTAAACCAAAGCACTGCAGCCATTACAATGAAAGATGAAGAGCTCGAGAGCATACGGAAACAGATTCAAGTTGTAGGGGAGGAGAAAGAAGAATTGGCTATCAAGACGCAAGAACTACATAACCAGAATAGATCTCTCAGAGCAGAGATCATAGAACTTCAAAACTCTGTGCAACAAACCATTGCAGCTAATAACAATAAAGATAAGGAAATCGAGGACATTAGAAAACAACTCCAAATTCTGGAAGCAGAAAAGGGAGACCTTGGTACCAAGACACAAGATTTACATGACAATAATACAGCACTAAAGGAAAAGATCGCAGAACTTCAAAACAGCCTAGAACAAAGTGGTATAGCTATTGCAAGGAGGGATGAAAACCTTGAAATCAAACATCAACAACTTCTTTCCACAGAGGATGAGAAAACAAAGTTGGGTGTCCATAAAGACGAAATGCAGAACGCCAATTTGGCATTGGCAGAAAAGGTCGATGAGCTCCAGAGCTGTGTTGCACAGATGTCTGATATGCTGAAAAGTAAAGATGAAGAGTTGATGACAAAGACCAATGAACTTGCTGAATTAGAGACTTTTGGTAACCAACAAATCTCGGAGTTAGAAGGAAAGTATTTAACTCAAGAGGGTAAAATGATAGCATTAGAAGAGAAATCTAATCAGTTAAAGGCTTCTGTAGAAAGTAAAAATGAAGAACTGAGCAGGTCATTGGCATTTCAAACAGAATTATCTGCTAAACTGCGCTCTTTGGAAGCTTCAATCGCTGAAAAACAAGAATTTATGAAAAGTGCTGAAGAAGAACTGAACAACGTGAAACAGAAGTTCAAGCAACAGCAAGTTGTTATTGAAGATAAGGACGTAAAGCTCAGGGAGGTGTCTGCGAGTTTGGAGCATGAAAAGTGCAGAGGAGATAAGACCATAAAAGGTTTACAATACCAGCTGAATGATTCGCAAAATTCACTCATTATGGCGAACGAAAAGTTGGACAAAATGAATGTAGTTCTCGAAATGAAAGACCAAGATGTGGAATCAATGTGTGAACGACTGGAAGCTGCAGAGCAAGAAAAGAAAACTCTTGAGGGTAGACTGTGTGAATTAGATAAGCAGTGTGAACTATTGAGAGGCAAGAATTCCCAAATGGTGATCGACACGGAACAGTTGTCAAACATACTGAAAAGCAAAGATGAGCAACTTGCTGAGAAAAGCCAAGAGATACAGAAGCTCCTCAAGAAAGAAAACACCGAGAGAGTGGCCGAGTTACAGAACCAGAGTGCTGCCCAATCAGACAAGATTGCCTCGTTACAATGCAAATGCAGCCAGTTGGAGTCTTTTGTGGAAAGTAAACAGACGACACTCGTTGCCTTGGAATACAAATTACATGAACAGAGTGAAAAAATTGGCCAGCTTCAGGAATCAATTGGAAGAGCCACTGAGGAGGCTAATAAAGAGAGTCAAGAAAATGATGCTTTGAAGATCAAGTTGGAACAGACTGTGACAACTTTTGAACATAGAGAAAAAGCACTGAAAGAAACTCTGGAAAAGCTGGAGTCTGAGAGAAGCAAGCAGCAATCTGACTCTGAGACACATCTCTTAGAATCAAGAAGTGTTAAGGAAGATCTATCGTCACTGTCTGAGAGGCTGAAGAAAATGAGTGCAGCCGTCGAAGTTAAAGACTTAGAGATCATGTCCATGATTCAACAGCTAAAATTTGCAGAAGAAGAGAAGGCAGCTCTCGCAAATAGAATGGATGAATTGGATGGCTTGCGTTTAAACTTAGAGGAAAAAAACGCCAGTTTGGAAAACAAACTTGAGCAATTATCCTTTGCGCTGAAAACAAACCGGGATGAACTAAGAGTGAAAAGCGACGAAATTGACGAAATTCAGGCATTAAGTGGAAAGGAAATTACGGAAGTGAAGGAACAAGAGGCTGCACAGAAAACTGAATTTTTGCAGTTACAAGAGAGATGTAGTCATTTAGAGATCTGTATTGAGAGTAAAGAATCAGAATTGAATGACTTACGCTCCAAAGTTGAAGCGTATAACAACTCAGCTGAAGTGGAAATCTCAACTCTGAGAGAGCAGATGGTAACGAGGGAGAGTGAACTGAAAAGTAAAGAGATTGCAGAGCAAGACCTTATGAGAAAGCTTGTGCACAAGGAAGACCAGCTTAAGGAAGCAACAAGTATGGCTCATGAGCAAAGTGAAAACCTAAAACAAATAGAGGCTCAGAAGGAAATGTTACAGATGGATCTCGAAGATAAGGACTCCTTCGTTGAGTCTCTGAACAAAAAGATTGAAATGTTGGAGGCATCAGAGGCACAATTAAAGGGAAGAATTACGGAAACAGAACAAGTAAATGACGAACTAACCAAAGAACTTTCAATTGTAATCAATAAACTTACTGAGAGCATATCAAATGTGGAAAGTAAAGAGAGAAGTATGGAGCAACTCAAACAAGATATCCAAACATTGGAATCTCAGTTGCTTACTGAGACAAAGAATAGTATGACGATGTCAGAGGAACTGGGGAATGTGCAAACAAACCTTAACAACACACTTGTACAGCTTGAACAACAATCAGCTGAGTTACATGAACTGAGGGAGAACAAGGTTGTCAATGAAGACAAAGTTTCCAAACTGCAGAGTCAACTTGAAAATTTGGCGAAGACTCTCGGAAAAACAGAAAGCGATAGAATGGAGGTGGATGATCTGTTGAAAGCTGCTGAAAAAAGACTTGAGGAAAACACACTGCAGATGGAGAAGGAAAGGGAATCCGTTGTCCTTGAATGGAGAAAACTTCTGCGAGAAAAATCGGAAGAGTGTTCTTCTGCGCTTGAACAACTTCAGAAGTCCAGAGAAGAGATCGACCGATTGAAAGACGCAGTTATCCATCTTGAAAATCTCTCAACTTCAAAAGACCAGGAGAAAAGGAAGATAGAAAGTTCCTATGAAGCCTTTGTTGAGAAAACGCAAAATAGAGAGCAAGAGTTGCTGAGAGCTTGCAAGGATCTTGAAGATGAGAAATCATCATTTCTTGAAAAAGCAAGAGAATGCCAAGCAGCAATGGAAGGTCTGAAGCATGAGTGCAAAATTTATCAGCGAGATTGTAAAAGGGCATGCGAGCTTGCTGATTCCAAAGCTCAGGATTACAGAGAAGTGGTAGATAAACTTGACGATTCACAAAAATATCTGCAAGAAATACGCCAGAAACTCTCTCGTGCTGAAATTGCATTGAGAGAATCCAAAGAGGAGGAAAAGCGAGCAAAGAAAGAGAGTACCGATTTGCTGAGGCAGCATACTAAACTGAAGGAAGACTTTAAAGCCAGTATGGAAGAATTAAAGGAAGAAATCAGCGATAAGCAGCAAAGCTTCTCAGATCTTTCTAGAAGACTGGAAAGTAGTGAAGCCATGGTTAAAGCTTTGGAAGCCCAAAAGTACGAGTTGGAAGGCATGCTAAAGCACTCAAAGGAGCAGCTTTCCCACCTTCAAGGAAGGTTGCAGACCATTTTTACAGATAGAGATGAGAAAGAAGCAATAGCAAGAAATGGAGAGGAAAGTAACGAGGCTATTAGAATTCTCCAAGAACAAGTGCAGTGTTTGGAGGCCAGCAAATCTAAGCTGAAGTCGGAGCTGGATAACACGAAGAATGAATTGAGTCGACTTCATGATGCTTATAAGATGATGGAAGTTGAGCGCACATCAGCAATGGCCTTGAAAGATTCGGAGATTGAACAAAAGAACGAGTTGTTTAGAGAAAAAGAGCAACTCGAAGAGAATATGGCTGAGAAAGCGAAAAAAGAAATTGACTTCTACAACGACAAAGTTAAAGAGATGGAAAGTAATATCGCTGATCTTTTGTCCGAGAAGCAGGAACTCCGTTCAGATGTGGACAAGAAAACTGCAGAAGTGACTCACTTGGCTGAGAAAAACGATGAACTGGAGCACGCTTGTAGAGAACTGAGACGAGTAAAGGAGAGTATGGAGGGCAGAGTTGACAGTCAGAGTGGTCAACTGGTAGAGCTAACAAGTGAGAAGAAACGACTTGAGGAAGAAATGTCTGTTGTTAAAATGGAGCTTGAATCAGCAAAAAAACATTCAGAGGAGAATATGAGAAAATGGGAAGAGGATCATATTCAGGTGAGAAAAATGGGTCTTGAAAAAAACCGTGGCCATGGTTAAGTTTGGTCTGTTTTGATGGAAAGAATATGTTACGAATAATGCCTTTTACAAAACAGTGTTTACGACTGGGTTCTAATGGGTAGGTATCTGAAGATTACAAGATACTTTCACGGGTGGGTCACAGAAAATTACTCTCAAAGCGAATGCTTTGAGTTAATCCCTACTAAACGATATATCATTTTCAATTTTATAACTACAGAATTAAATAATTTGCTTGTTTTTTTTTTGTTTTTTTTTTTAATTATTTTTGTGAAATGCAGGGAAAATTGAGCAGAAAGGGGAAACTACTCATGTCTTCAATCGGTTTATACTCGCTTGCGTTTTATTGTTTCGGCTTACAGTCTCTGGAAGTCAGTTAGCACATATTGTGCTAAAAACCCTTGTGGTTGATTATTGAAGTTTTCTTTCATCATATCTAAAAAAATGTTTCCTAAATCAAAACTTGGTCACGCGGTTTTTTTTTTTTTGCTTCAACTACTGATCTTACTCTGTGCCAATTTTCAAGGGAATCGGTTTTATTCTGTGAGAAAATTCCTAGCGCCGTTGTGGTCTTTTCCAGTTGTGCCTTTAACATTTCTTAGTGTGAAATGGGGCATTGCTGAATGATTTCTAGGCATGGATATCAAGGTTGAAGAAATATTATTTTTAATCATATTGTGATAATGGCTGGTTGATTTGTAGAAAATCAAAGAGTTGGAAAAATTACAGAACTTGCTCTCTGCAAGATGCACTCAAGTGGAAAAACTTCAAAGAAGTCTCAACGATCAAACTGAAGTGTCAGCATCTCTTAAGGAACAAGTAAGATCGCTCTCTAAAGAACTGGACTCCGTCATAACAGAACACGAACAATGTGAGCGGAAAGACAACAGCGCTAGGAATTTGCAGGCGCAAAAATTGGAGCTTGAGAGTCCCAGCTACTGCAAACTTGAGGAAAGGCTTGAAAAAGAATTGAAAGAAAAGAAAGAATTGGCAAATACTGTCAAGGAGATGAGAGGCATTCTTGAACAAGAGAAGAAGTTTGTCAAGGAGAAGAATAAGGAACTGTCTGAAATGAAGACATTATTGCATCTTTCTGACAAAGAGCATGAAGAATCCATCTAAGACAAGGAGACAAAATTAGTCGAACTGACGTTTGCTTATGAAGATCTTAGGAAAAAGCTTGATAAAATGGAAAAGAATTTCGAAGATAGGTATGAGGAGCTAAAGCAAGTTAAAGAACAGCTTAAGCAAACAGAAGAGAGGGGTGAAGAGATGAAGGAGGATCATGACAGAGAGTTGGACCGAGTTAAGTTTGAGTTGCGTGATGCCATCAATGATTGTAATCTGCTAAGAGAGGAGAACAAAGAGCTCCAACAGAAAAATTCTGCAAGCTCAGATCATTTTACGTGCGTCAGAGAGAAGAGAAAACTTTTGCATCAGCTAGAAGAGGCCAAGCTTAGGTCTAATCAAGCAAAACGCACCCAGGAAAAGATCCAAAACGAGTTAATTCAAGCGAACCTTAAAGTTATATCTTTTGAAGGTGGAGGAAATTCGACTGGTTCTGAAGAAACAGAACGACTCAAAGCACAAGTCAGCCAGCTGAATAGCGAAGTTCAAAGGTGGAAGGCTATCGCAAATGAGAAAAAATCAAGTTGTGATAGTAATACCTGTAAAGATGAAGAGATTAACAATCTTAGAGGTGAAGTATGTAAACTTCAAGCGGAAATTAATGAATGGAAAACCGTTGCAGACGAGAAGAAAGAAAACGCCCAAAAACTTCCGGCCACCAACCCGAAACTTGCAAGCAAGCTGGAAATACTCCATCGGGACAGGAACGCTGCATCAACTTGTACAGACACTCCTGGTACTGGAGAAAGCTCAGATGGATTAGGTTTATCCAAACCTCCCAGAGTGAATTTATTTAAAGCAGATTTTCTTTTAACGCCACTTGCTAAATCTTTATCCAACTTGGATATCGAGTCCTCTACAGCTGACACGTCACAAGCAGCTGCCACACAAGAAACATCCTCAGATACCAAGAAAAGGGCACGAAAAGGTGTGTGCGGTGTTAGTACTGAACAATGTGAATTCATGTTCAATAGAAACGTTTTCTGGCTGAGTTTCCCAAGTATTCCAGAAATGTATTGGTTTTTGCTTTGCTGTTCCCTGTTTGAGAAGGGTCAATTTTTATAAAATTGCATTATGTAGCTTATAGGCCATGAAAAAGTTGTGTCTAGTTTTCCACAAACTAATTGATTTTCCGCTAAACATATCTTATTCCGTATTCAAATGATGCTTTCATCGTTAACTTTACTTTGTTTTGTAATTATTTTCCGTAACCTCATCAATATTGGCTTTGTTACAGAAGCAGTTCGCAAGAAGCAATTATTTAAGTAATTGCTAACTTGTCAGCACCACTGGTTACATAAAACATTACAAAGAAAACAAATTTCTTCAACCCTCCCTAATTTCCTCGCAAGTGACCTCGTCATCTCGGCAATGCTAACAAATTTTGTCGTGGAATAGTCTCCTGGTTCAAAAAGTCACACATTTATTTGAACGACAGAACTTGTCAAGGAAGAGCCGTAAAATGTTTTACCATGCCTGCTAAGGAAACATTTTTGATAGAGAAACATTGCTTATCTTTCTTTCTCTTGATTTTTTCGTTCACTCTAGCGGCAGACATCAGAATCGCGAAAAGACCACGTGTATCCAGCGGTAGTGAAGCAGACCGCCAGACTACCTCCATAGGGTTGAAAACCCGTAGGGCTGCCAAGAAAGATGTTCAGCCTTCATTTGCGAAAGACGGGGTAAGTAAAACTGGTGACGCTCGTCGAAACAGTGGCCATGCATCAAGTATTAGTGGTGTAGTACCAAGGAATGACTGTCATAGAACGAACAAAGAAGGTAGCCATTGAGGTATCGCTTGATTTTTGGCAGACACTAAAAGTAGTCATTTAGCCAACCGTTTGTTCTGATGAGAAACGTTAAGAATGTGCTCTGATTGTCGAAAAGCATGATGTTGACGGTATCTTGATATTCTTTGTTTTTTCCCAGAAGGAAAATCCTGAGTTCACTAACGTTCTCCCATGGGGACAGTTTGCCCCTCCGGAGATGCCCCTGTCGCCACGGAAGACGAACTCTGTAAATATACCCCAGGGTCCAAGGTCAAAGATCCCTAAACCTGGGAGGAGTCAGTTGCCAAGACCAAACAATCAAAAGATGCGTGGTAAGAAAAATATCATCAGTAGGCCCCATTTGTGGATAGAATTTTATGATATCACTTTTCAGGTATGGTCATCGAAATTCAAGGTAAAGGACTTGGAGAGATATTTTTATCAAAATAAGGAAGGCAAGAAGTACTGTCATTAAACAAACATTCAGGTCTCGAATTTAACGCTCGTAAACCCGCCAAATGCAAGGGATTTTGATAATCTGCGAGTGAGAAAAAATATCCACTAGCAAATGTTTACGAGCTATAATCATCCATGTCTCCCAAACAACTGGAGAAAGCTGTTCGAACGCAAGAATATATGTACGGACGACTTCTGGAGAAAATGAAACAGCGGATGCTGAGCTTATCGATAGTCACTGGTCAGCGGTATTACTTTACACCGAGGATCTGTGCTAAACCTACGCATTCGCTTGTTGACGTCATTCCTCGTGGTTTTGGGGCTATCATTTTCATTACTTGTGTCAAATGTATTCTTTGTTGAAGGGTGCCAGTGCCAGTGGCGATGAATTTGTTGGTGGTCTCGCCAGTTTGCCAGTAGAAAAAAATCTTATTAGCAAAACTTTGCAAGTGGACTAAAAAGTTGAATTCGAGCCCTGAACATTTGCACATTATTTTGAAACCATCCATCGATAGATGGTCGTTGAAAACATCAAAAAAATCTTGAAACTCGTGGAATTATAAATTCGGAAGAGTATGAACCGTGGAAAGATTCACCTTTAAGATTTCAATAATGCATCAATGTATATGTAGAACTTGCCGTCCATTGGTCACGTCGTTGAGTTTGTTTGCTTGTTTTGTTTTATTTTTTACGGGAAGTTTACCAGTGAGCCTCGCCCTAGTGCCAAATCTCCTGGCTCCCTTCCAAGGATATTAAACGTGGTGAATCATACATTTACCGATCCTTTGCTTTTTAGGTGCCTCAACACATCAGGTGAGGAGTCGTAAACGGTAGCCTTTGGGGGAGGCGGCAACTGAACCGACAGAAAATTTTACTACTTGATGGAAACTGACGCATTGCTTCGCTCTCGTCTTATTCCTCATCGTACCCTTTTGCATTGCTCAAAGATAACTTTGTAAAAAGCTTTTTCTTTCTTCAGTTGGTTTTGTATTATATTTTCACTGTTCAGATTTTAATCATGGTTATAGAATGTTCCTGCTAATTTTAATAGCAGCTTATATTGCAATGAAAAACAAACAGCCAAATTTGTTGTTAGCTTTCTTGCTTACAGTTTTAATATTAAGACTTGCAGCTGGTAAGCTTTTGGTTTTTCTAAATAAAGTGATTAAGGAAACTTACGAGAAACTTTTGTCCTCGGCTAAAAAGTAATTGGAGAAAAGTTAGCAGGTAGAGTAAAGAATGCGCATACACTCAGTGACACTCAGCACTGATACCGCTATTTGCATACACAAATGATATTAGTAATATTCATCATCGTCATAATAATAATAATAATAATAGTAATATTTATTGATCTCTCCCCCGATGGGAGCTTTTCAGGGCTGTTCCGAAAACACGGAGAGCGAAGTCTGAAAAAAAAAAATTTAAAAAAAAACAATGTAAAGAATAATTAAATACATAAATAAACTAGAAATAGAAATTTAAGAAATAAAAATAGTAATTATTAAAAAATTCATGCCGCCTGAAGTGAACTGTTCATATGGTATATTTAACCCAAGATTTTCATAGTTAGCAGTTCACTTTTACC